AATAAAGAATCTAATATATAAAGCACAAAATTTGTCTCCATTCAAAAACATTGAGAATTATTTAGATATATAAAGTAGGTAATGTGTATTCCATGCTTTTTTCTTACTGCTCAGCTAATTCATCAGCCCCACTATTCTCTTTCCACAGTTACTTAAACAGCCTAACATTATTCCTTCACTTAATGATTGTTTTGTCAGCCCCACACACTTTCCTCACTTCACTGTTGCTTTGTCAGCCTCATACTATTCCCCTCACTCCATGGTTGCTTTATAAGCTACACATTCTTCCTTCATTCTGGTTGATTTGTCAGTTCTGAACACTTTCCTCACACTGGTTCCTTTGTTGGTTGTGCACCCTTCCCTCACTCTAGTTGCTTTATCAGTGCTGACCTCTACCCTCATTCCATCAATCACACACTCTTTGCTTGATTTATCAGTCCCACAGTCTTTCTTCAATCTTGGTGTCTTTGTCAATGCCACACTCTTTCCCCATGCCAGTCACTTTGTCAGTCCAGCACTCTTCCCACGCTCCATGATCGCTTTGTCAGCCAGCCACTCTTCCCATGCTCCATGATCACTTCATCAGCCAGCCACTCTTCCCAAACCGTCCTGGGTAAGACGTTAAACTATGTCCAGCAGCAAGGCCTCTGATCAGGAGGTTTTGAGGAGTGTGAAACCACCTCTTAATTGCTGGTGTTCCCAGGTCCAACCCAACCCGGGGTGGTAGCACCTGTTAGGGTCCCAGCTATGGGCAAAAAGTTAACTATTACCAGCAATACTTTTTTGAAGAAAATTATTACCAGCAATACAATTTTGAAGGAAATATATTACCAGAAACAGATTTTTGACAAAACAAAATATTACCAGCAATAAAAATTTTTGTCACCATTAAATAATCCATTGAGATTGATATGCCGTAAAACAAAATAAACCAAACCAATCTAAACCAAAGAATACATACTCTGTTCATACAAATCTATCCTAAAAATGTTGTTGGCATTAAATAACCCATTGAGGTTGATATGCCGTAAAACAAAATGAACCAAACCAAACCAAACCACTCTTCCCAAAACATATTTCTTTTCTTATGGCTACTATTGGGAGCTGATGTAATATTCTATTGAAAAGTCTCATCAGGATAGTAGTGAATTGCTATAAATTATAGACAAGTAATGATAGAAATAATGCCCCAAGGTCTTGTGGGAGAGCCAGTTTGATTGTCGACCACTCCGGTTTTGAATTCAGAGTTGTCCTTTTCCTAGACCAGCTGCTATTTACCTATAGCTTGGAGGGAGAAGAGAAGGTATTTGCACATAAGTGAATGTAAAAAAACTTGATTTGGAATTTAAACTCAGCTCTCTGATTCCTCAATCCAAGCCACTATCCATTACTCCACCAACTCCATATGACAATGTATGAAAAATAATGAAATCTTTGCTACTGCAAAAATTATTATTCCTAGATAATACTAAAATGTATTCATTAGTATTGTTTTCATTGTTGTTTTTGATATCTTAATTTGTTGATATCAGTAAAAATATTGAAATTTAAAAAAGTAAAATACATAGGTGCATCAATAATTCCATGGTCTTTATTTGTCAATGCACTTAATTCAGCTATAACACTTTTTGATGTCACCTACACCTGATGGTGTAACCATGTTTAATGGTCCAGTCCTCAAGATCTTAGAACACTCTTTTAACCTTAGGGTGAGCTCTGTGCTGCTCAATGCTGATGCTGGTCCAAGCTGGTTGTTAGTCACTGGCTGCTTCGATCCACACCAACTCTGCCCATGCTGTGTTCTTGATCTCAGAGCAGTGGGAAATCAAAGGTTGTAAGCCTTGCAATGCTGGTTCAAGCCATGTTGGTTGCTATATTAAGGAAAAAATAAAACAAGAGATTCATGAGGTTAATCTTCACTTGGTTTATATAGCTCTTGGTATAACAAAAATTAACCCTTCCTGCATCAATCTCTACAGTGACGTTGGGCTATGTCTAAACTTCTGGAGGGCTGGGTTCAGAGTCTTAGAATCAGGAATCTGGTTGGCAGTTGACATGGATTTCAGAGGCACTCAATGTGGAACCTCAGTCTAAAGTCATCTGCTTATATGCACTTTGGCCTAAAACTGGTGTGTGACAGAAGAGTTCTGGGTATTTGGTGAATCCCCACTTTTCATTAATTCCAATAAAGGTTTTCTTTGTTCCTTATTTCTGCTTTCTTAATCAACTTTCCAAATTTGGAGAATTATCCACCTTCCTTGAAAGTAATCACAGGGATTGCTTTTCCCTTAAGTCCAACCTGCTTCACTTCATGTCTCACACGGCTACTCCACACAGATGGGGCTAAATTCTGCCCTTTCCTCCTTCCTTGTCAGTATTCTAACACTGCCACTTCTCAAGGCTGGCATAACTGTCTTTGAGACAAATTTAATTTTTAAAGTGTGTAGGAGAAAGGGTGTGATTTTTAATTTCAATTCTCTGACTCCTTTTTTTGGACCCACTTGTTCAGTGAAAAAACACAAACCAGATCACCTCTTTTTAATATTTTGAGCGATAGATAAAAATTATTTTCCAATTTGTTTTCAACAATGAAAATATATTTATTTACCTAACCTAAATTCTCAACAAAGAGACACACTGTCTTCTATGCTTGGGCCAGTCGCCATCTTAGCGAAAACATAAGTCAGATCACCTGCCTGTTATGACTGATTGATTTTCATATTCCTAACCCACGCAGTAGGTCCATTCTCTGTTTTCATTTCTCAATTCATTTTTACTAATGAAAATATAATTCTCACCTGCTTCTCTTTTTACCAATGACATGTGTTTTTCTAATTTCCCAAAAAAGAAAGAAAACCATTTCCCAATTTGCTTTACCCACATGCCAGATTTTTGATAGATAAAAAAATATAAATTCTTGGTGCATCATTCCAATTCATAGGAGTGAGGCAACCCAGATGGGCCTTTCTTCACTTCCACATTACCAGGAAAAATGTCTTCCATTTGCTCTTTCTATCTCTCTATCTTCCAGTTTATATTTATCTGCTGAGAATTAATGTTTAACTACCTCACAGCCTCACTGTCATACAGCAGTAAATATTAACCTCATAGATTGGCTACTTTTTAACAGAAATTTCCAATCAGATTACAGATTTATTGATTCACTCTCCTCCAACATCTATGTAATAAAAACAAAGGAAATTTGTTTCCATTGTTTAACAAGCAAACAAAAAGGTTATTTATGAATATTAATGACTCATCTCTAGAAATACCTTCTAATATTTGATCCAGAATGAATTTTGTAAATGAATAAAAGAGGAATGTACTAATGCTTTCTCAAAAGATAAGTCAACAAAAGTTAAAATGTCACCCCCTTTTCATAACTTTCTATTATTTCAGTGTTAAATGTCATTTAAATGACTCTCAAAAATGTTACCAGTCATGCCTGGTGTTATTTTTTTTTTTTTTCAATTATCAATTTTATAAACAACTGCTGAGTTTAAAAAATAATGAATTTACTGTTTTATGGGAAAGAAGTCAGTTGCTTATCGTTGAGGTATGTTAAATAGAGCATATTTTTTCTATTTTAATGAGTACATAGCAATTTTTTGCTTGGCTTTCACTTTTAAAAATGTTTTTTTTTTCTTATACTGAATATTTTTTAAATATAAAAATTACTGACTTAATCTATACAGACAGAGTATATCAGATTATAATTTTTGTGAGGTTCTCAATTTCATTTTTTTTTTTCCTTGCTTTTCTCTTGAAAATTCTGTTTTTCCTTTGGAAAAAAAAATGCCTATCTGTTAAAAACCTTTTATTTCTCTTGTGTCTTAAAAATAGAAGCATTTTTTTTTTTAAAATCCCCCCCCGTCTCTCTTAAAAATAAAAGCTTTTTTATTCCTCCCCGTCTCTCTTAATAATAAAAGCTTTTTTATTCCTCCCCGTCTCTCTTAATAATAAAAGCTTTTTTATTCCTCCCCGTCTCTCTTAATAATAAAAGCTTTTTTATTTCTCTTGTTTCTCGTAAAAATAGAAACTTTTATTTCTCTTGTCTTTTTAAAAAAAAATTTTTTTTAAATTATCTTTCCCCTGTCTTTAAAAAAAAAATATTTTCCCCCAATTTCTGTAAAAAAAAAAAAAAAATCATAATTTTTCCTCTTTATAAACAATAAAATATTTTTCCAAAATGTTTTTTCTTTAAAAAAAAACTTTTAACTCTCCTGTCTCCTAAAAAGAAAATTATATATTTCTATTCTCTCTTTAAATAAAAAATAAAAAAAAGGTTGTATTTCCTGTTCTCTCTTTGTAAAAAAAAAAAAAAAAAATTCTATTTCTCTTCCCTTTTCTGTTTATTTTATTTAATTCTGTTTTTGTCACCTTTTTCTCTCTCTTTCAAAAACCCATCCACTGCAAAACTGCTAACATTAGACACCAAATATTTTCTGTTTTTATTTATGGAAATTATTAAAAATGTTTATTAGCCAAATGTGAAAGACATGTAGACAGATTATTCTGTCTAGCAGAGGATTATCCTGGAACCAATCATTGGCACTGCTTTTCTGGTTTATACAACCAACTTAGAATAATAGTCTGCTTCAGTATAAAACCCGACTCCCACAATAACCTACTTGTTTGGTCATAAAGACTTTGATATTTTTTTATTCTTCAGTAAATACTTTCATTCACTTTGTCTTATGTTATTAGATTTAATTAACAGTGGTAGTTTTAAAAGAAATTTCTTCATGTTAAAAATTCTTTTTGTAGTATTAGACACTGTATTTCACCTTTGCATGTTTCCCCCTTTCTTCTTCCAGGATGTCCTTGTTGATGATTGTTCTTGTGATTTACTTTGAATGCCTGCTTCCGTCTTCTACAAGACCTGTCACCTTTAGCAAAAGAATCTCAACACCAACGTTGCTTTTGGAAAACTATGAGGACACTTTGCTATGGGTGGTGAAGCTCCGTCAACCCAACTGGGGCCTCTTTTCCCACTTCAGTATTGCTGCTGAACGTCTTGCACATGACCTCTCCTTGCTGCCATTACACCAGATTGGAGATCTGGAAGGTTTTTACTTATTCGCTTACCCCACCTCTGCATACCTGAGTACGGCTAATCGATCGCTCGGCTTCATTCATGATGCACACACCACCTTGGAGAGGGACAACTTCACAAACATCCAGAAAGTGGTTGAAATGAAGTTAGATCAGCATCAGGATGTTGACTCATACAGACGGGAAATCATTCGGAAGAGGCATAAACGAAGAGAGCTGACATTCTCTGACAGTGAATTCCCAAACCAGTGGCATTTGGTAAGTTTATTTCTTTGTATTCTCGTCTTTATTTTCTTTTTCTTTACTGAGTGTCTCCAAAGCCAAATTTCTGTTAGCTTATGTTAAAGGTTTGGCAAACATGGACTTGCATATCCACAAACAAAAAATATCAAAAGCAAAGTTTTCTGATTACACCACTTTTAAGTACCTCCTCTCTTCAGCAATGTTTGTTTTTAAAAAGCAATGATTAGAATTGGAATAAAACTTAAACATATGAAAGTGAATTTATACATTTTCTTTTTTTGTGAAAATTGACAACAAAAATAATAAACACTATTAGGTTATTTATTTAGACTATTTATTGTTTATTGGAATGGTCAGCAAAACATCATCATTGTCAATTGATTCAAACTTTATAAAATGGTAAATAAGCATTTCCTTACAATTGGTTCAGATATTTTAATAATTTAGTAAATGTTTATAAATTTATGAATGAAAAATTGCTTCCCAATTTATTTCTTTATAAATTGGTAAGTCATAAATATTCCATTAATTTTAAATACAATTGTATTAGTTTTTAGAATGTTATAAATATAAAATTATTCTTGTAAATAAACAATGTAACAGTGTTTAATATTTTTGTTATAAATTCCCAAGAAAAAGTGCAAAATTTACTTTCACCTTACGTTAGGTTTTATTCCAATTCTAAACATCACTTTTTAAAACAATAAACATTGCTGAAGAGAGAAGGTAGTTAAAATAAGAGCGGTATCATGGGAAAATCTGTCCTTTTGACACACTTCTTTTTTTGCAGACACAAAAGTCCATATTTGCTAAAAATTGTGTTTCTGGTCCCTACAGTTTTGTTATTTTCAATGAGCAAAGAAGCCATCATTTTATTTATATCTACATTTGTGTTGTCATAAAAAAAATGAGCTTTTATTCCATACTTGAAGTTTAGAAATTTCTAACCTCACTGCCTCAGTTCTGTAATGCTTTTGAGGAAGAATGCAAAAAAAAAAAACAATAGCTTTATCAGAAATTCTTTTCTCTATAGTAATACAGAATGTCCTTATAGCTGGGCTTGTGGCATAACAGTTGACAAAGACAGAAAGCAGTAGTGGCAACCAAAGTTCAAAATCCAACTGAGACAGTTTGTGATTATTTCATACAAATGTGCTTAAAACAATATACAACTCTCTCTTCTTCCTCCCCAACTATGAGTAGGATATTAAAGTAGATGGAGTTCTATAGCCTTGGTTGACAACCGGTCTAGGAGAAGGATGTGGGAGCTAACAAATTAATTCTGTAAACTTCACAGTATCATCGGTCTGGTTGCAGCCCTATGGTTCGCAAAACATCTTCAGGAATAAACAAGCCCCATTAGTTTTGTACTTTACAAAGACAATAAGAAAGTTTTCTTTTTTTTATAGTGGAAACTAAAATTTAACTCAAAGATTATTTGAACACAAATTTAAATTCTGTTTTTGACTAAACGTTTTTATCTTACTGTTGCTTCTTTCCACAGCAAAATACTTTCACCTCAGGGTTCAAATAATTTAAGAGAACTTCTTTTTTTAAGTGCCATGTCCTTTTAGGACATAAGAAATAGATTCCTTTTATTTATTTTCTGTAAAGAGCCATGACTTCCCAGGAAAGATAGTGTTTTTTTTTTTTTTTTGTTTTTTTCCATAATCCATTCCTCTGCTAGAGTAGCTGTCAAACAAGGCTAGAGAGCTCAGTTTACCCTTTCGTTTACCTCATAAGTAGAGGGGAGGAATAAATTCATGTTTTCCCTAAGGGCATAGTGTGAAGTGAACACAATCGACCTGGGTGTAATTTAAACTCTGCTTGCTGATTTCATTTTCTGTGCTAATAAACATTGCACTACTTAGACATTCTAATTACTATATAGTAAAAACTAACAATATGCAAAAGGGAGGTGGCAGTGTGACTGTAAATTTGTCTTGTCTAACTATGGCCAAATTAATTCAGAAGTTGTCTATGAATGCTAAACTCTCAAGATATGGGTCACGCGTTCAAGTCGTGTCCAGAGCTATGTCACTGTATTTTAACAGACAGAAAGTAAGAATAAGAGGAGGAAGAAAAAAAACTAGTCGACTGTAGTCGTGATTATCAAATCAATGTAAACAATCCTTTCCTTAGCTGCATAGTATTCACCAGGGTTACATACAGTTTTGAATTCAGAGTTTTCCTTCTCCTAGACTGGTTGCTACCCAAGGCTACAGAACCCAGACCATCCTACTATTTATCTATAGCTAGCGGGTGGGTAGGTTTTTTTTTTTTGGGGGGTAAAGAATTTTATTCATACCTTTCCTAAGAGTATTAGCATATAATTGAATGTAATGAACTCTACTGGAGTTTGAACTCTGCTCTCTGATTCATCAAATCCAAACTGCAATTCATTACTCTACTGTACTAGCCACAAATTAACAGTATTAAATAAAGATATCAGCTGAGATATATTTTTTAATGTTATAAATCAGTAATGATACAGTGTAAAATTATGAAATAAATATTAAAAAAAAAAACTAAATTGCAATAATGATTGGTGAGAAGAAAGAGGTGGAGGAGGAGAAAAAGGAGGGAGAGGAAGAATAGGTGGTGGAGGAAGAGAAGGTGGAGCCGCTTGATGTTTTATTAAACCTATAATTGCACCTTATCTGTTTCTTTGCAGAGAAATCCTTCAACACGTATGGATATTGATGTTATGCGCGTATGGGAAAATAATGTCACAGGCAAAGGTGTTACTGTTGCTGTAGTTGATGATGGTAAGTTCTTTCTGTAATTTTCATATTTGTCATTATCATTCCAAGTTTTATGGATCTGATTGATTCTGATCTGATTGATTTCTGAATATGATTGATTCTGATCTCATTGATTTCTGGATCTGATTAATTCTGATCTCATTGATTTTGTCGTATTTCTCACTAACAGCATTTCAGCAGATTCATTCTTCTGGCTTCCATCAGAGGCATAATCTATACAAAATAAGATGAAAGGGGCTGTGTGTGTGTGTTTTTTTTTTTTTTTTTTTACAATAATGTTCGCTCTATACAAGGCCCAAGTGCCATGCAAGGTAGAGGGTTACAGAGTAAGAAGTAAGGGACACTGTGGGGAAGGTAGCAATTAGTCCTAGATTTGAACAGTTCAAGAGTGTAGTGATCAGGGAAGCATCTTTCTTTTTTTTTTTTCTTCTTTCTTTTTTTTTTTTCTTCTTTCTTCCCCCACCTCGTTCGTTCTCTCACCCCCGTTCGTTCTCTCACCCCCGTTCTTTCTCCCTCCCATTCTTTCTTTTTCCCTTACCCTTAGCACAGTAAGGATTGTAGTAGAATCATAATTAATGTATAGTATTATTGGAATTGCTTGTATTGCTTATAATTCTGTGATCATTAGACCCCATCCAGCTTCTCTTTTATTTTTTTTTCTTACTATTTTCTAACTTATGCTACCAAGAACAAAAAAAGAAGAAAAACCTCTCCTGTACTTTCCAAAGGAAGGCTGTAAAATGAATTTGTTGAAACATTGGTAACAACAAAAACAACATTAATAACCCTAACAATGCAATACGTTTTATAATGAAACATTATTAATGAAAGTATTCAGAACAAAATTAATAGGAGTAGATAGGTTTGGAGGCACACTAGAGTAATGGATTGCAGTTTGGATTGAGGAATTGGAGAGCTGAGTTCAAATTCCAGTCGAGTTCATTACATTCACTTATGTGCTAATACCTTTGGTAAAGGTATGAACCCAACTCTTCTCCACTCAGCTATGGGTAAATAGTAGAATGGTCTGGGTTCTGTAGCCTTGGGTAGCAACCAGTCTAGGTGAAGGAAAACTCTGAATTCAAAACTATATGTCACCCTGGCAAAGCAAATATATGCTGCTAAAGAAAGGATCATTCGCATTGGCTCGATGATCCCAATTATGGTTGACATTATAAAAAAAAAAGCAAAAAAACATCCAGTACATACTCTCTCCCCCTCACTCCAATATTTTTTGAACAGGTGTAGAGGTTTATTCTTTGTTTCCTGTTTAGAATTGTGTTTCCGGTTCCTTCTAAAGTCTCTTCATTCTCTTCCACTGGCCACTTGTGTCTTGGTGGCATTATTGCCTTGCTTGGGGAAGTTGTTTTTACTCTGTAACCTTCTACCTCGAGTGGCTCTTGAGCCTTGTACAAGGTAAATATCATTGTATAAAAAAATTATATCTGATTTATTTTGATCTTTTTAATCTTTCAATGACTTTGCAATTGCTACCAGCTACTCTCCATGGATATATTTTAATATCTGTGTGGTTATTTTATTTTATTTTTTTTTTTTTTTTTTTTTTTTTTTTTTAGAAAACAAGCGAGATAACATATTTACATGTATTTACATGATGTTAGGATCATTTAACAAACACGCACACACAAATTACAGTTTGACCATTTATATGACATCGCCTTGAGTGACTTGAAATTGATTCTATCAAATGTGAAAATGCCAGAATTAAAAAAAAAACAGTTGCCTAACTACACATAGAACAATTGTCAAAAACAAATGGAGTATCATTCAAAATTACTAGGCTGGGGGTAATAATTTAAAATAAAAGTTGATATAAATTTTAGCAAATTTACCAATAACACAAAACAACTTATGTTGAAATTTGAAAGATTGAGTTATATATATATATTTCCAAGAGGATAAAAATCCAGGTAGAGTTCTATGTACAAAACAGAGCAAGAATATAATATAAAAGGCTCAAACCCTGATATTCCATGGTTATAATTTATTACATTGGAATCGTAATCACAATTCAATTCATCAGACCTACAAATTCCAATGTAATAAATTATAACCATGGAATATTAATGTTTGAGACTTTTATATTTTTATGTGTGTGTATATATATATATATATATATATATATATATATATATATATATATATATAAGTGAACATTGAAGTCAACACTTAGAGGTGACAGGCTGTTTCATGCTAGATGCAATCGTCAGGCCTGATGATTGTGTTCAGCATGAAACATGAAACAACCTGACTTCAATGTTCACTTTTATATTTACACATGCTCTATCTCTGATATTGAGCACTTTATCCCATAAATATAGCACACCTTAAGACTATATTTCTTTATATATATATATATATATATATATATATATATATATATATATATATGTGTGTGTGTGTGTGAGTAATCTTGTGTGCACATGGCTGAATGGTTAGAATGTTTGCTTTCTGACCATGGGACCCAAGTTCTATTCTCACCATGGTCAATTTATCAGGAAGGTGATTTCCTCATATCACTTTGGAGAGGCAATCCCAGCATGCAGCAGCTTTGGGAAGTTCCTGAAAACTATACCCCAGCTTAACCCTAGCCTTCATGAGTGAAACTGAATAGACAGAACTGCTTGGAAACCACTGATGATTGTGCTAAGACAGTCATAAGTCCTCATGACTGAGATTTTGAGTGTACTGGCATTATTCATATTTTGCTGATTATGTCAGAGTATGAACTTTCTCTCTCAGAAAGTGTAATTAAGGTCCACTCAGCACAGTTGCAGTAAAAACACAAGTGGGCTCTATGGGTGTTGAACAAACACAAATGTGTCTGAGCAGTCATCTGCAGCAGGGATTAAATAGTGTTTAGTATTTTTGTTGTAAATTCTCAATCTTATATCTATAATTCTCAAAATGTGTATGTGTTGTATGTTGTCTATGCATTTCCACAGTTTTCATCTGATTTTAATGAATTTTTTTTTGTTTGATAGATAATTCTTCAGTGCTAATTTTGAGTCCAAATTGTTGGCGACAATGGCTCTCCACTACTTCCTGTACATTATAACTCTCAGTAACGTTTTACTATTTACTATCTGTTCTTGGATATATATCTTTCATAAAAACTTTAATACAAATAAATAGTTTAAATTACAATATTATTATTTATTATTATACAGTTCACTTTTCAGCCCCTCCCCAATTAAAATTGTTAACCCTCCCTCTCCCAATTTAGGGATGTGCCTCAGTTGCACTCAAATGTTGTTACTAATATTGATTTTTTGGGTGGACTGACTTTAAACTTAAACTGCTCCAATTGAATGGCAAAAATTCCCAATAATGAAAGACCTGGTTGAAGACAGGTTATACTGCTAGTAAAAAAAAAAAAAAAAATCATGCTTAGGTTTTATTCCAATACTAATCATTGCTTTTTAAAACAAACATTCCTGATGTTTGAAGAGTTAAAAAAAAAAAAAACTGTGTTGCAATCATCCTTTTACACACTCTCTTTTTATTGCAGGCATGCTTACCCATGTTTCCACACACACACACACATATATATATATATATATATATATATATATATATATATATATATATAAATAAACATAGGCATCAACATCACATGATTGAAGTGTGTGACTGACAGTCACTATGCAGCATCGATTCCTATGCTCACACTGTTACTCTCTTTCACACGCACACATATATATATATATATATATATATATATATATATATATATATATATATATAAAATTTGTGTTTGTTCAACATTTATAGAGCCAAGCCAACTATATTGATTAGACATAATCAACATTTTGAACAAATAAGGCCAGCACACTCAAACCCTCGATCAAGATGTCATGTGGCTTCACACTAGCACAACCATCAAGGATCAGTTGCATCTACACAATTTCACTTACAACGTTCAAGTCAACTGGTATGGTTTTCAGGAACCTTTTCAAAGATGTCACATGCTGGGATCACTTGCCCAGGCCAATAATATCACGAAGTCATATTCCTGACAAATTGACAATGTGAGATTCAACCCTAGTCTCATGATTAGAAACCAAACATTTTAACCACATATGCAGGCATATGTTTCTAAAGACACTCTATGATATTGAACACTCATCCCCTAGAAATATAACAAATTTTTCTTATTTTTATAATAATTTTTGTAAAAATTATAGCAAATTTTAACTGATAAATATACTTGAAGGGTTATTTTACTCTGAGTATTTATCGATCCCCCCACGTGGATTGAATGTGGCACAAGGCCGAGTTTAATGTGGGTTGATCTGAGCCCGTAGGCTCGGCCAAAAATATAGCCTTTGAATCCGCCTTGACGGGTTCAGGCCCTGTCTACCTCCCCGGACGAAACCTTGCCCTTCGGCAAAGCTTTGTCTGGGTTCCTCTCTGCTAATGCAGAGAGTTCGACAGACGTCGGAAGTCAGCTAAGAATGGTTCCTTTTTTTTTAAACTGGAATGTCTATCATCTTTTTTTTTTTTTTTTTGTTAACTCCTACATTTTCTTGAAAATCATAGTAAAGATCTACCATTCATCCATGCATTGAATGCCGTTGCCATATCTGATTTGACGCTCCTGCCATATATCTCAAGTGTTTTGAAAAAATTCCAAGAAGGGTCCATAATGCATTTGATCCAAACCTGGCATTTCCACTTTCTCATTGTTATGACATAGCTTCCACCTGTCTTTTCTATAAATATTTTCATGGAAACTCATCTGATGAGCTTTTTCCGTAGTGCCTCAACCACATGAATTTAAGTGTACTACTAGATTGGCAATTAGGTCTCATTATTTTGCTGTTGAACTCATTAGATGCAACCGCCACTTCTATTCTTATAGTTTCTTTTCTTGCACTTCTCATTAGTAGAACACCCTTCTGATTTTTTGCGTCCCTGCCACTTACAATCTTCAAAAATTTAAATGCAACATCAGTTACCATTTTCTGTTTTCCTGAACCCTGTTCCTTTATTGTCCTTTCCTCACTAATGTCTTCTCTTTCACTCCCTGTAACCTCCTGCATCCTAGTGGCATTATCAGTTGTTTGGAGTGAAATTTTTTTTTTTTTTTTAAATAAAGCTATGTATTGATAAAATCTATACAGTCAACATTAGAGCAATTCTAATCTTTGCAAAAAAAGGAAAGAGAAAACTATTCTATGATAAATGGTGCTCACTCTGAAATAACCTAAGATATGTGGGTTTGACTATCAATGCTAAAGGCAAGAAGAAAACAATTGGTTATTGTTGGCATCGCAACTATGTTTATACAATCTCTGATGTGTGAGTCTATTGTCTAAAATTTTAAATTATGACAGTAAAAAACATGGCTTACATTCCATACTACTGCTGTAATAATATAAAGGTTAAGAAACTATTGTTTTGAAATTGAAAACATCATTTATCTACAAAAAATTTGATAACACTCATTAACAGAAATTTAATGTTAGGCATATTCATTTTGTCTATTGATATTTTGGAGTGACATTTTTGGAAAGTTATGAAAACTCATTCACAGTTATCCATAAATATCATGTCTTTTATGTATATGCAAATCAATGTTATTGTCGTCAGGGCTTCAGACTAATTTTTTTCACCATTGTTCCTGAATTATCCTGAAAAAAAAAAAAAAAAAAAAAAAAACACAGCAGCTTTAATTGCCCTGAAAAACTTTTAGACCACTCTGAAATTGAAATTTTTTTTATTTTTTTTAATTTTATAATTTATAAAAATAGAAAAAAAACAGCTTATGGCTACATCACATTGAAACAGCAGTTCCTGTCTGATTACCAAAGTAACACTGAGTCTGGTTAGTACCGAGACAGGAATACCAGATGCTGTAAGCTTGGCTGTGTGGGTGGTGCAATTGATAAGGGCTTGGAATTGTTAATTGAAGAGCCAAGTTCCAATTTCAATTGTGTTTGTTATATTCACTTATGTGCAAATTCTCCTTTTTTTTTTTTTCTTTTTTTCTCTCTTTTTTTTTCTCTCTCTCTTTTTTTTTTTTTTTTTTTTTTTTTTTTTTTTTTTTTCTTTTTTTTTCTCTCTTTTTTTCTCTCTTTTTTTTTCTCTCTTTTTTTTCTCTCTTTTTTTTTTTTCTCTCTTTTTTTTTTTGCTGGTGGTAGAGGGATTTTAAGAAATTGCTTTTATTTTTTTAATAAATAAAAAGAATTTTAATTAAAAATATATCATACTGCCATCAATACCCAAAGTCTAACCAGTCATCCCAAACTAATATCTTTGTTGCCACCCCCCCCACAAGATGACATTAACTTCAATACTAGATTGTTGCATATTTTTTAAGTAAAACATGTGCTGATATCCAGATTAGTTTTAAGTGGAAAAAATGTTACTCAAATGGCTTTACTATTGTATAATATGTATCTAACATTTGAGCATTTAATTTCAAAACAAAATTGTCCACATTTTATTTTTTTTCATTTTGCTATTATCAATTTACAGTCATGTAATTTTTTTTTGTTTTTTATATTCCTTTTTTGTTATTCTTTGCTTTTGCAATCCCACACTATATAAACCTACTGAAATTGCAACAGCATGGCCCATGGTTTGGTATGTTTGAAAAGAAGTCTCTTAGGAATAAAATTCTCATTTACTTTATAACAAAATATGACTTATTTTTGTTAAAGAGTTTTGTTATGCTGTCAGCTCTTAAGAGGTTCCATTTCTTAAATCCCTGGCATCTTGACTGAGTTGTGGCAAAGTTCAAATATGTGATGTTAATGTAATTAATTTGATATACCTCAAAAATTGTTGAAAATCAAACCTTACAAGTTGATTTTATATGAAAGTAAATTGATTTGTCTTGCTAATGACACCAAATTTAGCCCCCCTGACTATAAGATATGGTCTTGGGAATCTATGAATTTTACAAATTTGTAAATTTCCAAAACACTATAGATTTCCAGTGCCTCTAGCTGTTCATGTGATAGTGTTAAAGCTGTATATTGAAATAGTGTGCCTAATTGTGAGAGCATTTGTCTGCTTCTAGCCTTGAAGCATTAATTATTAAAAAAAGTTGTTTTTTCTTTGTGTTTTTTTGTACAACCCATGTTTAATTTCATATATCTCTAAAATTGTTGAAAATCAAACCTTACAAGTTGATTTTATATGAAAGCCTCTCAATCATCAAAACATGTTTCCATTCAACTGTAGTTAACTCCAACGAAATGGTATGCTTTAAAACTACACAAATAGTTCCTTTGGTTTGATAACTAAACAGGTTGTGACACTTTGTACTGGTATTAAACATAAACATTACTTAATCTTTGAACTGGCTTCACTTATCAAAGTGGTGTGTGTTTACCAACTAATGGCTTTGAGTTAATATACCAGATTCTTCACATGGGAGTTATCAAACATGTGATTTTATTATATAAAAAATGAAAGAAGTACAGTTGCTACTCTTTCTCTCACTTTATTTCAAGGTGTTTCTCTCCCATTTTCTCCTAGAACTTCTTTCTCTCCTACTTTCTCTCTGTATCATTAGCTCCTTTTACACTTTCTCCTGCCCTCTGTTTCTGCCTCTCTCAATCCTTGACCCTTTCACCCTCTGTTTCTGCCTCCCTCAATCTTTGACCCCTTTCACCCTCTGTTTCTGCCTCCCTCAATCCTTGACTCCTTTCACCCTCTGTTTCTGCCTCCCTCAATCCTTGACCCTTTCACCCTCTGTTTCTGCCTCCCTCAATCCTTGACCCTTTCACCCTCTGTTTCTGCCTCCCTCAATCCTTGACCCTTTCACCCTCTGTTTCTACCTCCCTCAATACTTGACCCTTTCACCCTCTGTTTCTGTCTCCCTCAATCCTTGCCACTTATTCCCTTTCTATCTGCCTCAATCCTTGACCATGTCACCCTCCCATGTCACCCTCCCTCTGTTTCTGTCTACCTTAATCCTTGACCATTACTCCCTGCCTCTGTTTCTCTCCTTCAATCCTTGACACTCTATCCCTTTCTGTCTCCCTCAATCCTTGATCATATTATCTCCCTCCCTTTCTCCATGACTATATCACACTCCTTTTGTTTCTGTCTCCTTCAATCCTTGACCTTTTCTTTCGTCCTCTGTCCTCTGTATCTTCCTACCCCAATCCTTGACCATTACTCCCACACTTTGTTTCTGTCTCTCTCGATCCCTCAATCATTGACACTCTCTTTCTGTCTGCCTCAATCCTGGACCATTTAAGTCTGTTTCTATCTTAATCCTTAGCTCTTTCTCCCTCCTTTTGATTTTGTCTCCCTCAATCTTTGGCCCTTTCTCTCTCCTTCTGTTTCTGTTTGCCTCAATCATTGACCCTTTTCCCCTCCCCCATTTTCAGTTTATCCCCAGTCTCCTTTACCCTTTCTCCCTTCTTTTGTTTCTGTGTCCTTCAATCCTTGACTCTTATTCTTTTGTTCCTGTATTTCTCAATCCATGATCATTTCTCCCTTTCACTGTTTTTGTCTCCTTTAGTCCTTGACCCTTTCTTCATCCCTTTGTTTTTGTCTCCCTCATTTCTTAACCATTTCTCCCTTCCTTTGTCTACCTCAATACTTGACTCGTTTTACCTCCCTTTGTTTCTGCCTCCCTCAATTCTTAACCCTCCCTCTCCTACCTTCTCTCTGTTTCATTCTCTCCCTTCTGCCTGCTTCTCTCAATCCTTGACCCTTTCTCCCTCCGTTTCTGTTTCCCTCAATACTTGAACCTTTCTCCTTCCCTCTGTTTCTGTTTGCTGCACTCATTGACCCCTTTCTCTCTCCCTTGATATCTGTCTCCTTTAATCCTTTCTCTCTTCCCCCACCATATTCTCTCCTGTTGACTCTCTCTTTGACATATCCTATATATCACTCTCTTTTCCCCCTCTCTCTTTGTTTTCTTTTTTATATGTCTAATTCTTACTCTCTAGACCCCTATTCAAATTTTCTTTAAAATATTAAAACCAATAACTGATATGTAAAAAAAAAAAAAAAAAAAATTAAGAATACTTGGTATTATTTTCTAATTTTCAGAAATTTAAAATTTTTTTTTTTTTTATCAATATTTTTTTTTTTTTATCAATATTTTTTTTATAATTTTTTCTTTTGCTCAGGTGTTGAATGGAACAATCCAGATCTTGAAGAAAACTATTGTGCTAAAGGAAGCTGGGATCTAAATGATGATGATCCTGACCCTATGCCTCGAGATACTTCAAGTAAGTACTCTAAAGAAACAGTGTGTTTTTATAAAAGGTAATTCCAAATGACCTTATACTCCACAAAGTATTTGTTATTTTAAATTAGGTTATAGATTTATGGATGTACCTACATAAAATGGATGTCAAAATTTTCATATTAGATTTAGCATGTGAACTAATGTAACAAATAATTAAGGTCAGCTATTTCTGCTTTAATCATAGTCTTAGAAAAGGCTTAAATTTGGATTCTAAATTATGAACTTATCTTTATATGATCTCTAGATTCTGTACACACCTGATTAATTTACACTTGCTGGATGCCACATGTAACTTGAGGAGAAAATAATGACATAATGAAGATCCTGACATTCCACAGTACATCAAATAAAAGGTTAGGAAGGAAACACCCATTGATACAGGAAAGAGCAATAACAGCTACTGGATTTGAGAAACATATTTTCCATTAAAAATTGTTTTAAGAGGAAGATTGGTAATCATTTAGATTATTTGCTTATTTACAACATTCTAAAAACTAATACAATTGTATGAAAACTGATGCAATGCAATATTTATTATTTACCAATTTATAAAGAGATAAATATGAAAACAATATTTTATTCATAAATTTATAAAGATTTACTAAATTATTAAAATATGTGAACCAACTATAAAAAAAATCTTTATTTACCATTTTATAAAGGTTGAATCAATTGGCAATTAGCCAATGTTTTGCCAACCATCCCAATAAACAATAAAATAGTGTAAATAAACAATCTAATAAATACATAGTGTTTAATATTTTTGTTGTAAATTCCCAAAGAACAAAGAAAATGTATAAATTCACTTTCATAGGATGTTTTTATCATGGAAATGCATCTCTCGTGATTGTTTATATCATGGAAATGCATAGCCTGTGGCTTTTACGAGAGGTTTCATTAGTAAAGCGGAATTAATGCATGTGTTACTGGCAGTCTAGAACTATTATATGTATAAATGCATTGCTGCTAATTTTTACGATATAAATACATTATCAATGTTTTTTTTTTCTATGGTAATTCCCTGAAACTCGGTAGGAATAGAATTGTCATCTGTCTGAAATTAACACATTAACAGAATAGGGCTAATACATGCTTATTACTTATATATTGCCTTACAGGGTGATCATTTGTTTGAATGCCATTAGAGTTGTCACTTGGTAGAACTTTTCTGTGTGCAAGTTTGGTCAGAAGTCTAAGCTTAAGAAAGTTAAGAACATGACAGTTATATTAAGTAACCATAATAAACAAATGTCACTGATTTGGTATGGTTAGTAGACAAATATCTCATCTATGGTTGCCTTATTTTACATCTTTATTGATTGGTTCCAACTTCCCCATAGTTGCAGGATGTAAGCCAGTTTTAATGAGGTACCCATATATATATATATATATATATATATATATATATATATGTGCATGCCAAGGACAAAAATTGCCTTTTACTCACAACTGCTGTTGCATTGGTATCTACACTAACGTTTTTTCTTTAGTGCAATGAAGGATATGCTGCCACAAGATTGGAATCCCCAGAACTAGGCTTCCCACCACCCCACTAGCTTAATAAAAAGAGATACAAAGTTTTCATTACAACCCAAAGGTTAGAAATTCTTTCAAGTATTTATTGATCATCTTAATTCTTGTCATGTTCTTTGAATATCAATTAAAGTGGTAAGTGTAAAACCCTTCTCTTCTGAGGTACCAATGAAATGTTTCTGAAAATTTCAGCTACCAATCATCATGGGACCCGATGTGCTGGGGAAATTGCTGCTGTTCCAAATGCTGTGTGTGCTGTAGGTGTGGCATATGGAGCAAAAGTGTCAGGTGAGGATGAACTTTTGATATGTAACAGAAGTGAATAGGTTATATATTGCTGGTGGAGTGATCCAATTAGAGATAATTAATAATTTTTTTTTTTTTTTTAATCAATTCACCCCATGCAAAGTGCTAATACTACTAAGATGCAAGTGGTTATTGGGTGTGAACAAAGATTTTAAAAAGAACCAGAAACCCAATCCTAAGCAGGAAATGAGAGATAAACCTCTACTCCTGGGCAAAAGACAAGAGAGGAGTGTGAACTGTGTGATAAGCAAACTTATCTACTATCGTAAAAGGAGAGAATACAGAAGGAGTGAATGAAGGTGCGTATGTAGAGATGTCCTGTTTTGTATAAACATGTGTGCAGATTGATTCTGAGAGATTATACTTGAGAAAAATTGATTGGTAGAATCATTAAATATGTCTGCACAAGGTATCTGGTGGGCAAGTGTGGTAATCTCACAATATATATATATATATGTTCACAGCCATGTCCCATTTAGGTGCTGTAAACTTAGTTGTGCAAGTGGTGTAATGGATAATGGCTTGGAATGAGAAATTGGAGAACTGAGTTCCAATTCCGGTTGAGTTTGTTGCATTCACTTACACACAAATATACTTGGGAAAAGTAGGAATCCATTTCTTCTCCCCATCAGCTATGGGTAGCAATTTTTCCCCAAGTTTTCTGCCAATAATTACAATTCTCAATCTTGTCAGTGTGCACCAAAAGTTGCAGAAGGGTATGCAGAATGCTCACACAGTAATACGATGAAAGACAAACATCATGTCAAGAAATAAGAATGCAAAACCTGTTTCTCATTATAAAATAGATGTTTTACTCATGGCTTTGCCTGTTCCTCCAGGTGAGTTGGTAGGTGATACTTGAGACAAGTTCTGCTATGTCAGGTCCTCTCCTTACCAACCCCTTGCCCATCTACTCATCCAGACATGGAGGCTGGTAATAAGAATGGAGGCATTTGTTTCCCCCAAGGGTGAAGCAGAACTCACCCCGATCCCAAGCATGACTGTTAATATAGACCAGCATTGTATTGATACAAACTTCCTTTTTTTAAGTAGAAATTTGTGGTAGTGTCTATGGTCCAACACATTGTATGTTTCAATAGCAATACATTTGGCATTTTTATTTAATTTTTATTTTTATAAATTTCACTTACAATTTTTTTCAAAAGGGTCCTTCAAATATTTAGTCATTTTATCAGAACCTTTCGTTGTTTGTATTTTAATATCCATTCCTACTATATGCCATTTCTTATATGAGCCCAAGTGTGTTTTTCTGTGATTCACAGTAAATAGTTTTTGTACTACAGGTGTCCAATATTATTAATAAGTGATGGGGGATTTAAACTTAAACCTGTTAAGATTAATGTAAATTAGTTGAATTATATAGATTTATAGATTGTGGGTAATACCATAGCACCCAATGAAATAAATCATGCTGTCCAATACACTTATATGCATACATATCTTCATACATACATGTCCATACATATATGCCACTATACGCACACATATACACCCCCACATATATGCACATGTATTCTTATGTAATTTTGAATTTATTTCTATGTCTACATTTCATAATTAGTTCTCTCCGATTTAATAGTTTGCATTGATCTTTATATTTTATTATGCTGATTTTTTTCTTCTAAACATAGCTTGCACCTATCCCTAAATCTATAGAATTTTCCAATTATTTATATATATATTATATATATATATATATATATATATATATATATATATATATATATATATATATTAAACAAAACAATGTTTTTATAGTAAGGTAAAAAAAAAAGTCTGGTTAATCAAATTATAAATTTGCATTTACAGAAAGTGTAAGTTCTGTGCATGTCTATCTTTTATTCATTTTATTTATTAAAATGAAAAAGTGACCTCTACCACATGCTTTTTAAGAATTTATAAACCTGTATCTATCTATTTATCCAGGGTTGCGTGTTTTAGACGGACCCTTAACTGATGGTCTTGAAGCCACTGCCTTCAACAAACATATGCAGATTAATGATATTTACAGTTGCAGGTAAGTAAAACATTACTTTAAAGATAGCTGAAAAGGTGAATTTAAAAGGAAGGCCTTTGAAATTAGAAATATTTTTAGTAAAATAGTAACCCTATTTTTTTTTTGTTTTTTTCTTTCCAACTGTTTGAATAACATCGAAGCCATTATTCTATTATCAGTGGTGGTTGTGATGATACTATTATTACTACAACTAATAAACTAGTAGTACTTGTGAAAATTTAATGGTTTTCCTATTTTAATTTTCTGATGAATTATAATTCCTAATTTAATGACTGAATAAGATCCTTACAAGTTTTACAACTAAAATACCTATGGAAATTCCTGTATTGCATCATTAAATATTTGAGCTTAACAACTTGCAAAAATATTGCAAGAGCAATCATAAGTAGGGATGTAGGTCATTATTTAAAGAAGTAAGAGGGTACAAATGAAAAGATTAAAAATTGACAAGGTTTTCCATTTCACTGAAGCAGATGTCAAATACCTAAGAGTATGTGTCTTCCTTTACTTTCCTTCTTTCTCATTCCACTTTCTTTCCCTAAAACCAAACAACACCTTTGATATATCTTTCCTTCTGTCTATCCTCACAAACTAGAATGGTTCATTGTTTGTCTGAAATAATGTTAGGGCTAATGAAGGAATAAGCAGAATTATATGATAGCAGAAAAAAAGGTTAACAGAAGCTATATCTGTATCTGTGACTATAAAATACCAGTGGAAATTCCTCTAAGGCATTGTTAAGTTCAAATATTTAACAGTTTTAGAAAAATATTTGCAATAACAATCATAAGTATGAATGTCGGTTATTACTTAAAGAGGTAAGAGGATACAAATGAAAAGACATAAAATTTAAAGTTTTTTCCATTTTCTTGAAGCAGGCCTCATCGCTTTCTCACTGAAACCAACCAGCGTCTCTATGTCTTCTCTGTCTTTTCTCATAATCAAAACGGAATAGGCCATTTATTTATGTGGTATTGGAAGTATAAGCTAACTAAGAATTATAATATGGAAATAATGATGTTGATCTCTTGAGATTCTCAAATGAAATATTTTCAATATTCTAAACATTTTTGTTAGATGATTTCCTTTGCTTTTTGACTGCTTTTTATCAGCATTTTTGCTATCCTGGGTATGGTGATAAACTACATCCAGCAACAATGCCGCTGATGAGGAGGTTTTCCAGGAGCATTGAACCACCTCTTAATTGCTGCTGTTCCTAAGTGCACCCTGACCTGGGTGGTAGTATCTGTTAGGGTCCCAGCTACAAGCAAATAGTTAAAACCCAAACTGGGGTCAAAACACTATGAAAGTATAAAAATACCAGCAATGTATTTTCATAGTAAAAAAAATATTACCAGCTATAAATTTTTGTAAATGAAATTACTAATGCTCTCAAGAAAATTAAATTTCAGTATTAAATGACCCATAAGGAATTGATATACCCCTAAAAAAAAAAAATCAACCAACTTTTTTGTCACCCATGCTGTTTATAATTGTATGAAAGGTGTCAATTTGGAATTATTTGAATAGCTTGATTTACTGTTTTTTTTTGGGGGGGGGGGTTGTTTTTTTTAATGAATGAAGAAACAGGTAAAAAACCAAAAATGTCTGAAAATATTTAATTGCAGACTTCCAATCTAATTAAAAAGAATATAAAAATGGCCAAAAGAATATAAATAAAGAACTGTCACTATAAGTCATCATGAGAGGAGAATAAGGTCTTCTTAAGAGTCTACTTTTTTTCTTTCAGTGCCATGTCTTTTCAGGGTGTAGATGATGACATTCCCCAGGCTTCCTTTTTAATATCTGTGAATTGACTTCTCACAAAAGATATTGGAGTGGTTCCCTGTTGCATTCTCCAAGGTTTCATATTCATGATTGTCCTTCTTCCGGACTAGCTACCCCCCAAAGCTAGAGAGACCAGTTTACTTTATTTAATCCATAATTGGGGGCAAAAAGAGATGTCTTTGCTAATGTCATTAATGTAAAAGTGGATGCAAAAGCCTAGGCTGAAATTTGAACTCAACTTGCTGATTCCACTTTCCACAAGGCTTACTGCATATCACATTGAAACACCAGTTCTAATACAAACACTGAAGTTAAGCCGTGCCAAGCCTGACCAGTACCTAAATGTGTGACTGCTTGGGTATGTGTGAGGAGTAATGTATCAAAATTGTTCATTGGAGAGCCACGTTCCATTTCCAGTTGGATTCATTATATTCACTTACATGCAAATAACTTTGGTAGAGTTATGAATCCACGTCTTCTCCTTTAAGTTATTAGTAAGACTTGTAACAATAAACCATTATTATCTCCAAAAAGTTCTTACAATTTAAAAAATGTATACTTTTTTAATTTAAATATGGTCGATAAACCATAAAAACCAATCAATCAATACATCCCCTTTCCACACCTATAACAATTGTTACCTGCACATTTTTAAAAATATTTTCTAAATTCTTTCATTTTTTAACTTGAAAAACAGATGAGAATTATTGTAAAAAAACAACCAGTTTTAATAATAATATTTGATAATTACTAATAATAGCAAAGCCATTGACCTCTCAAAAATCAATAATGGATTTCACTTATTATTTCAAATGTAGTCATCTTAAACTTTTTAAATATTTTCTTAAAGAATTTCTAGTGTATACTTTTTTGTTTACATGTCATTTTAAATAAAAATAATGAATAGAATTCTTGTGTGTGCGCATGTTTGTTTTTTCTCTATTCGAATGAATAATAAAAAAACTACCAAGTCTAAAACTGGTATGTATATCTACAGAAATACTTATATATGCATTTTTGGGGAGTATTTCAATGACTTTTAAGCAAGCATTTAACAATGTTAAGAGTTGAGTGGAATAGGTTATTACGTTTGTTGACTCTTTATTTTGCCTGATTTACTCAATAATTAATTAAAATCGAGATAAGATTTATTTATCTGTTTTGTTTATTGGACTTCAGTCTAATTAGTCATTTGACTACATTTATCAGGGTGAATCACAAATAAACAATTCCAGAGTAGAATGTGTTTTGGAAGACCCATTTTAGCAAAACATAACATGTCAAAAAGAAAGTTTTTAAAATCAAAACTCTGAAGTTTTATGTTGTGATAAAAGTATTACCATATTATTCAGGCCAGCATGCTCATCTTGGCTGTTGTACTCTACAGCCTTCTTCATGTATTTGTCATCATATGTGGAAACCTTCTTTAAATTTTGAGCTAAAACTAACCTTTTATTCAATCCAAAGAGAGAGATTATTCTCATTCTTCTTTCTGTACTTATATCAGTTGATACTGATGAGTATTATTTACCTTTGTGTCACCTGTTCATTTCTTCCACTGAATCAGAATATGTGACTTTTCAGTACTACCAAACCCAGGGATTGAACTCATAATTGCCAGGGAATCTGATATAGTTTACCCAATGTTTTAATTCACTTGGCCATATGAGAAGAAATACATCAGTACTGATGGTGATGATGATGAAGAATAAGAAGAAAACAACAACAGCTGATATTAAATAACCCTAAAATGTGGAAATCTGAATAACACCCATCTATCCCTATTAGTTGTATAAAAGATTTGTTCAAAGTTTCAAGAAGATTACCAAGTACAATGATAGACACCTGAAGAAGGCCAAATGGTACAACCACCCAAAACTTGAGTATAACAACCATACTTGTCTAAATAATAAGGTATATAATAATAATTCCTATTATTATTATTGTTGTTAACTGTATACTCACTGAATGTCCCAAGTTGGCATTGTAAGCCATGATTTGATTGGTAGGAGAATCCATTGGGAGCTATGCCATAAGTTTGGCTTCAGTGTAAAAGAGAAGTGGTATGAACATTCACCATAGGCAATGATAGAAAATGACTCACAAGATCATGTCATTGAATCACAAAGCCTTTATTGTTGTAGATAAGAATAGCAAGTGTCAAATTATTAACTTTGCTGTTCCATATGATACAAGAGTGACACCAAAGAAACTGAAAAGATTTAAAAATACCAAGATCTTACTAGAGGGCTGAAGAAGCTATAAAACATGAATGTAGAGCTAATTCCTGTAGTAATGGGTGCATTTGGAACACCACCCAGAAAACTGAAAAGGCACTTAGGGAAAATTTGAATTAAAGCTCTTGAATTGTGAGGAGTCTTGTTGACACCATACCTCAAGATTAGAATTTCCATTGACTATGACAATGTGAAACAACAACATAATTCCTTAACTTAAAATTCTGATTATACATTAGAGATAGTGTTTTCCAGACTTTGAATCTGGAAAAGTATAGGTAGTAAGTGAAAAACATTGGGAATCATCTTGGGATTGTAACTTTATACAGTCAAGGGTCATTTATTTACAAATGGTGTATCTGTAAAATAAGGCAAAGATTAGTTAAACTGTGAAACAGTTCAAAATTAATTACAGCTGCCATTGACATCTTGAGGCAATACATTTGAAATTTTTACACATGTACAAACCCCCAACTGAAATGCTTTGACATTCAGAAGGTACATAAAGGTCAATAAGCCCTTCGGTTTAAAACCTCATTATGTCTGTTATCAAGGGATGGTATCGGGTAGCTTTTGTTCACATAATTTATATGTTATTGGCTAACGCTCACTCATTCAACTCCTGTAGGCCCCATTGGCATATGGAACCACAGCTCTCAATAAGCTGTGGTTTCTGCAACAAGTAGTGTTTTATAGAATGAAGTTGCTAGCCTTATGGCCAACCAGATTTGAATTTTTAGACTGGTTACTAACCAGAGTTGAAGAGCTCAGCCTGCACTATTTAACCCATATCTGGAAAGAGAAAAGAAGGATCTATACCTCTCCTAAGAGTATATGCACAAAAGGGACTAACAAAGTTGACTGGAATTTGAACTCAGCAGATCAATTTCATGTTCTGAGCTGCTATTTCACCATTTGCATACCCACTATTGGCTAAAAGTAAGATAAAACCATCTACCATTGGAACAGGAAGTGATGTAACTCTTCCTATTATTGTAGATGAATGATTCTCAAATAAGAGGCACTTCGCTCCTAGGAGGATCAATTTTAGCCGGGCAAGAAACTGAGATGGAATATTAGTCATAATTATAATGGTGAAAAAGATGCCAATTCAAAATAAATTGAAGAAAACTGGGACTGCAAAAGGAAAAATGTGACTCCGGACTCTGAGAATCTCTGGTATAGACAAATGCTAACATTAAATTATGAAGATAGTAAGTCATTTTCCTGAAAGAATCAATGTAATCCAAGTCAAGAACACAATGTAATGGTAATACAACAATATCTATGTATAAAATTATCTACAAGTGAAGATATACAGTCCCTCTTGTAGATCTCTTAGCAGGGGTGTTAATAGTTTTTATTGTCTCATTGCATACTTTATCATCTTCAGACTCACAATGTTGTTATCCTGAATATCTACTAATTAATTCTTAGCAGTAATTATTCATTAATTTAAAGACTCCAAGTCATAACATCCTACAGAGAGATGTACAACAAAACCAGGTTAGGAGTTAGCATGCATTCCATCAGGTGAATATAAACTTCTGTGACTAAATCCACAAAGCAAAGTTGACTATATAGTTGGAGGTTTTAGATACACAGTGTCTTACAACAGGCATATCAGTAATGTCAATCAATACTTATTGTCACAGGATTATGAGAGGAAAAAAGAAAACGGACAAAATAAGTATGTCTTAATATCTCCATAACAGAGAGTATACAGCTAAGCTTTTTTTAATACTAAATTTAACCAATTTCAAAGTCACTCAAAGGGTTACTGTTGAAATGAAAAAGCTGAATGAAGTGTATGTTATGAATAGAAGAAAGAGTGGTAAGAAATGATTATGTGGATTTAGGAGAAAAGATGATTAACCATCAACTTGAAGAGGTCACAATTTAAAAAGAAAGCAATTAGCATCCCAAATACCAGTAGATAAGGAACCATGTATCTAAGAGACCACATTTGTTGACTTGTACCTATAATTATTTTTCTGGTTAGTTTATTTTACTCCACAATATTAAATGTCTGCTTTAGTGAATAAAAAAAAAGGTATCTTTATTTTGTAAGAATGGCCCCGTTTTCTTAAATCTGAATAAAAATTTAATAACTTTTAAATGTCATAACAAAAGTTTTGCAAAATTGCCAATCAATCAGTTATGTACCATGCGTGATATACACTTAGGCAATCATGTATCTTTTCCCACAGTAGGTTGCCATTTCTTTCTGTGGTAGACCTGTTGCCATCCAAGGCTATAGAACCCGGTCTGTCCTGCTATTTACCCATAGCTGGGGGGAGAAGAAGAGGATTCATACCTTTCCCAAGGGTATTAGCATGTAAATGAGTGTAATGGATTCGACTGGAATTCGGGCTCGGCTCTCTGATTCTTTGATCCAAGCCGCTATGTATTACATCACTGTGCCTCCAAAATTGCCTACACTTAATTTAAATGTACAAAATCTGGTTTCTGAGCTTTGTATTATAAATTTTCAGATATTATTTATATATTAGCATAATACCCTTAAAAATAGGATAGAATTATATACATATGAATTAATACTTCTGCCTAATATTAGATTATGTAATGTCTGTGTACACTGCCAAGGATCAGTGTGTAGTAGCTGTGTATTCTATGAAAAGTATTACAAAAAAAACTCAATGTGTATATGTATTAGATGCCAAGATAATATTCCTGAAATCTGTTTTTATTTTATGACATCTGTCAAGTATGAAGAGAAAAAAACTTGTACAAACATCTAGCCTATAAGAGAAGTAAAGAAAAAAATAAAGAAAATCCAATAGAAAAGAGAGTTGAATTATTCAAGCTAATATTTTAAGCTTTTTTTTTTTCTCTCAACATTTCAACCAATCTGTTTTCTCTTTTTCCTTCTTCTCCTTCTCCCCTTTCTTTCTTCTTTCCTCTGTCTCTCTCGCCCCCTTTCTTTCCTCTGTCTCTCTCGCCCCCTTTCTTTCCTCTGTCTCTCTCGCCCCTTTCTTTCCTCTGTCTCTCTCGCCCCCTTTCTTTCCTCTGTCTCTCTCGCCCCCTTTCTTTCCTCTGTCTCTCTCGCCCCCTTTCTTTCCTCTGTCTCTCTCGCCCCCTTTCTTTCCTCTGTCTCTCTCTCTCTGCCCCTTTCTTTCCTCTGTCTCTCTCGCCCCCTTTCTTTCCTCTGTCTCTCTCGCCCCCCCCTTTCTTTCCTCTGTCTCTCTCCCCCTTTCTTTCCTCTCTCTCTCTCCGCCCCTTTCTTTCCTCTGTCTCTCTCGCCCCCTTTCTTTCCTCTGTCTCTCTCGCCCCCTTTCTTTCCTCTGTCTCATATTCAGTGATTGTTTTCACTTCAGATGATATAAATCCCGATATGCTAGAAAGTAGCAATAAATAACAGAAAATTCAAAATCGAACCAAGAAATATTTACATAAACCAGAATGAATAAATTCATAAAGCAATTCTAAGTAGGTATAGCTCTTAATCATTTGTCTCTGGGATAGATCAGGATGACAAATTTCTCTCAAGATAGCTGCTTCCAAGCACTTAAAATGAATGTAAATGAGATGTCCTTGGAATAATCCCCAATCTATTCACTGCTACCTTATAAGCTATAACTGAATATGTTAGAAAGGCTTTGAATAGTTGGGCACTCAGATAATGCCATCTATGTCTTTGGAAAAGTTATCATTAAAAGTTTCTATACAATATAATTTTACTAAATGTACTAATGAAGAATGACAAGAATATATGTTCTTGGTTTTGTTGTTGATTTTTTTTTTTTTGTGAAGAGGGGTATTTCCTATAAGACTATGCTATAAATTTATACATCATGTTCATTTTTTTTTTTTTTTTTTGAGGGGGTCCCTATAATACCATGATATATATTGGTACATACTGAGAAACAGTGGCAAACAAAATTTACACAATGTAAATGAATGGTCGTCATTACTTGTAAAGGTAGAAGGAAATGAAATAAATTTCAACAAGGTGATATTTTTCATGGGTGATTTTTTTTTTTTTTTTTTTTTTTTTTTAACATAACAATTGACTAATTAACACTAGTATTCATGTAAAAGGAAGAAAACATTAAAAGTTAGCAATTATGAATTGTGTGTAAGTTCAGTCACTTAAAGAAAAGATATTTCCATGTCCGGGTCAAGAGACAAAGTTTCAAGTTTTTATAGCTGTTTAATAGTGCCACCTAACAGTGTTTAACAAAGCCAAGTGAGGGTAACCAACAAGTTATTTAGATAAATAAAAATCTTGCAACAGAAGCACATACATGTCGGAGACAATATACAACAAATGATATGTGCATCATATAACAATAAATATGTTAAGTGGAAAATTTAAATAACCCTGTTTTGTTTCCTTTACAGTTGGGGCCCAGATGATGATGGAAAGACAGTTGATGGCCCACATGATTTAGCTTTGGTAAGTTTTTTCTTTCAAATTTTTTTGAATTTAAAATCCTTCCATGCTTGATTTAAGACCACTAATAATTGCTCTAATACCATCTGTATATAAATCTCTTAACACCGAGTTTACCCTTTATAGCAGCAACCCACAATACAAAACATCTGCTCTGGTACTCCTGCTATATATTTAAAGATTCTTGATAAAATTCAAAGCATCTGTAATGTTATTGGTCCTGATCTTTCAAGTTGGCTTCAGTCACTTTCCACTGCCATAACATAACTTCCCTGTGCTTTTTTTCTATAAATACTTTCATGATAAATGCTCTGAACTTTCCTCTATGGTACTTAGGTCTCATCATTTTACAGTTAAAATGAGTAGATGTAACCATAAGCTCCATGCTAACAGTTTCTTTTCTCATACTTCTCGCTTGGCAAACTCTCTTTTGGCTTCTTACTTCCTAGTTAACTTAGCATTTAAATCTTTGAAGATCAATGTCAGTCATTATCTTCTGTCTTCTTAATTCCTGTTCTTTTATTGTTATCTCTCCTTAATAATTTTTTTTTTTTTTTTTTTTTTTACATATTCTTTAACACTCAGTAGCCCTTTGCATCTTACTGGCTTTATTGCCTTGCTTAAAAAAAAGGGTTAAAAAAAAAAAACAGTAAAGATAAAATTAATTGTATTTGTTGTGTTCTCACATTATTGAGTCAGCTCAATTGAACAAGATCAAGTTTTCCAGTGACATCTTCTTGTGGAACTGATACAGCTGAGGAAAAAAAAAAAAAAATAGGAAAGTACATGTGTAACCATGGTTACAACTTGTCTTGTATCTAGAACAAGATGAACATTTGTATGATAAATGAAAAGTTGATTCTCTGTCTGTCACACACTTTGTTTCTGTGTCATGCATGAATAACCTAAACATGCTTTTTGTCTAAATTTCTGGGATGAGGAGGAATCATTATTTACACTATTTATATTCAGATTATTGTCCTCATCTTTGTTGTTATTGTTGTATCCTATGGACTTACATGGGTGTATATCAATCTGGGTAACATACTGGGAATTCTGAACCGAATCCTTTATTTAATCTCAAAGTATAGACTATTGACATTTCTTGTCTAGGGATATCTAGTTCTTATTTTTATTTTTTAGTACTGTTCAGTTATTGCTTGCCCATTTCAATTATGTGCAAGTACATGCTGTCCTTCCACTTGGATGCTACAACACTTACTCTGAGCTGAGTAGTAAAATTATAAAGTTACAGACAAAAAAAAATTTAATTTTTTTAAATTCTAAAAAATTATATTATAAGAGTTTATTCAATTTCTTAAAATTATTCAGTAATAAAATTATTTTTTAAAACATTTTTTTTAATTTTGTAGAAATGTTTTAGGGATTTTTTAACTAAAATATACATGTGCACACACGCAATTTGAATCAAATTGAAATGAACATCTTTGTTGCGGGAGCTAATTTCTCTTCCTGTCTAACAACAACAACATCTGGGTAACAGTAAAAAAGTATATGTTGGCCCTTTGAAGCTAATTTTTTTTATTCCTTCTGTATTTAAACTGAATATATTTTCTAATAAATGTATTTTGAATGGACAAACAATTTTGACTTGAAGTTTGATCATCTTGCCATCAACAAAGTAATAGGTACCAAACCAGTAATGTATGAAAAAAAAAAAAAAACTCATTTATTGCACCCAAAAAAGAAAGATCCTCTATTTTTAAAAGGCTAAATAATGCTGATGTGAAGACTGTAAAAAAAGGTATGGCTCACAAATTTAGCCTCTTCAAATAAATAGCATTCTTTCTTCTTTGTCTTGTCAAACCTTAGTTTTACATTGACCAGAAGCTGCAAAGAAAAAAATAGTCTTAATTTGGTTACAGTGAGGACATTCTGCAGTATTATCTTTCAACCTATGCTTCTGATATTGATTGAATCAGTCATAGAAATTTGGCCAGATTTAGTTTGCTTCATGATAAAAGTAATGATGTACTATAGAAGAAAGGTTTATTCACCCATTTGTATTTCCCTCATTATGGGCATTAACCTCTCCATGATATTATAACACTGTATTTCACTGATGGAATGGAAGAGCTGAAAGAAAAAGTAATGACAAACATGTTTTATTCCCCCAAGTGAGTTTTATGATGCTAACTTGTGCACAATTTTTTTATATATATATATATATATATATATATATATATATATATATATTTGTGTGTATGTAGAAAAATAGGAAAGAACACATTAGGTAAATAATCCGGAGTTCTTTAGTATTTTTGTTTTTATTTTTAAAAAACAGTGCTCCATACAGAAGTAGAGCTTACATTATAATTATTTTTTTAAAAATTATGATTCATTCGCTACATAAAAGTTCTCATGTTTCAAAAACAAGAGCCAAAAACCTCAATATAAGTATTAAAATTAAATTGAATTAAAGTATCAAGCCCTGTTTCATCCAATGAAAATTAGGAAAATTTAGGAATAACCAATCTTGAAATTTACACATCTTTATAAGCATGTTCATTCGCAAAATTAATTACTATGGAAACAGCTTGAGCAATCATTTTGATAAGGGGCGTTAGAGTTAACAATTTGTATCCACATATCAATCACCTTTGGAAAGAGGTCAAGTTGAGGCAGGGCTGGGGTGTCCATTTCAAAGTGAATGATGGCATTCATGTACACACATCGTCTGTTCAGTCATAGTGACAGATAGCTGTTGGCACCATAATACGTTGTTAAGTGTCTACAGAATTTTATTCTATTTATTTTTTCTTTTTTTTATATTGAAGTTTTTGACTCTTGTTTTTGAAATGTGAGAACTCTTATGTAGTGAAGGAATCATATTTTTCTAAAATAATTATTATAATATATATATATATATATATATATCTGTGTCCCACACCTAGAAACTATATCTCATGTCTGCAACAGCAAGCAGTGTGTAAAAAAAAAAAAAAAAAAAAAACCTTACTTGAAATATTTACCAAAGAGAAAACTAGAGTTACAGTGGTTTCTCTATGAAGCTGGTGAAGTCATATGGTTTTTCCTTTAAAACCTAACTCTATGAACTAAGAACGTCCTTCTCTGGGTCTTACATTGGAACTTTCATCACTCTATTCCCTGACATCACTTACCAACCATCACATGACCCTTGTGACTTTATCTCAATGAAAAAGAGATAAAATTACCTTTTGTAGCTTTGATTTTTGCTTTTACAACTAATTGCTTAAGAATGACCTGTTTATTTATTTTTTCTGCTTTTCACAGCAAGCAATGAAACATGGTATTAATAATGGTCGAAAAGGTTATGGAAGCATTTATGTAGTTGCCAGTGGCAATGGTGGACGCTACTTTGATAACTGCAACTATGATGGCTATGCAAATTCCATCTACACAGTAACAATTGGTAAGTGCATATCTTTTGCAAACTTTGTGCACTTCCATTATTTTTCAAATGCCTTACTATACTTACGAGATATGTGGACTATCTATGCAATGTCACATGACCAGAATTATTTTTAATCAGCATTTTGTTTTGGTCATTCACAACTGCAGGCGTACAGGAAATCAAAATTTCCACTTCTAAAACTAGAAAACAAACAGTATTCTCTGTAAGCAGTGCATATCTATTTTGCTGTTTGTACAAATTGAATTATAGACTTTGTTTTACAGAACCAAAATTGTGAGAATCGATGTCAAAGAGTTAAACCCTAACAACTAATCAATATTTTGATAAAAAATCATAGAACACTACATTTAAATGTTATTAATTTTTTATGAATATTGCATTCATCTTAATTTCAACTGTTTGAAATAAAGTTGAAATTAATACAAATCAGAAATTGACAATGTCTTATAAAAAATTAACAATGTATCATCTGATGAGAAAAAATATAAAAAATTGATAATCTATTGTTGTATAAAAAATGAAATATTGACAATGTATTGTTTCATAAAAAATTCAAAATGTACCATCTCATAAAAAATTGATATTATATTGTATTTTAAAAATTGACAATGTATTATCTCCATAAAAAAAATTAAAAAAATTGACAATATATCATCTCATAAAAAAAATCAATGTATCTTATCATAAAATAAAAGTTGACAGTGTATCATCTCATGAAATTAAAAAATATATAGTCTCATAAAAACATAGAAAATTGACAATCATAAAAAAATTAAATATTGACAGTATATCGTATTTTAAAGATTGGCAATGTATCATCTGATAAAAAAAATCAAAAATTGATAATGCATCGTCTGATAAAAAAAATCAAAAATTGATAATGCATTGTCTGATAAAAAAAATCAAAAATTGATAATGCATTGTCTGATAGAAAAAATCAAAAATTGATAATACATCATCTGATAAAAATTCTGGAGAATATTACTGCAACTCTCACTGTATTTATTGATCCAAAAATTGACCATCTTTTTATACAAACTGAATACCTCGATTTTTTTTTTTTTTTTTTTTTTTTTTTTTTTTTTTTCCTCAGGAGCTGTTGATGAGAGGAGAAATGCCATATTATGCAGAGAAATGTGCGGCAATGATGGCAGTAACATTTAGCAGTGGTGGAAAGGACACACGCAGTATTGTAAGTAATTAAAGCTCTCATTTTTATTTCTATTTACTTTTTGCAAACATTGATGTCTTGTATATCCAGTGGCAATAACACTCTCTAGTTATTTTAGTTATTCAGCTTGATACTTTGCAATCACAAAAGCATATTGTTATCCAAGGTGTTAACCTAAAAAGTCAGTGAACTTGAACAGATCTATTTGTTTGTCTACCAAGTTATCCAGGTTCAGTTGGTTGGTTTTTATAACTTGTTAGGTTATTTAATGTTGAATTTTGTATAGGGCACCTAGTTAGTCAAAATCAACATTCAACAATAATGGACAACCCGACTACCCTCAATATCAATTACTTCATGATGTGGCACCCTAAGTTATCCAATGTTTCTTGCATCTTGCCAGATATTTTGCAGATTTTTCCAGAAACGTGTCCAAGAAATTGAGGTCATTTTTTTTTTTTTTTTCTCCAATATTTTTCCTTATTTGAGGGAGCTAGTTCCTTTAACTTTTATCCAAACACTTCATATATGCTGATGCAAAAGTTTCAAGCATTTAATAAAATGTTTTATTCATATAATTTCATTAAATTATTTTTTCCTAACATTTTATGACCTTACAGCACCTTTTCAAAAAAAAAAAAAAAACTTAGAGTTTTGGTTTTTTTACCGAAGACAATTCATCAGACCTTATAGCAGTATTTCTCAACCTTTTTAATTCAGGGTATACTTGTAGAATAACTAAAACTCTGAGGTGTGCTTTAATTTTTAATAAGATAAGATTGGTCATGGAATTTGAAAATATAAAATTTTTCTTTAGCATTCCCAAATATTAACAGTACAGTTTTCATTTAAAGAGATTTATGAAGAATATGCTTTTTGTTTTTTTTAGAGTTGCCAATAATGACTGATTTAAATCCCTCAAGAAAGACAAATGGGGAAAATATTATCCACTACTTAAAGATTTAATTTAACATCCAGTTTAAAATATCAAATAACAAAGATTTGACTTAGAGATGGAAGCCATATGCTTGAATTCTCTACCTTTTTAAAAATAAAGATTTTTCTTTTTTTGTGATGTCAACAAATACTCGTTGCCACTTTTGTAATGTCAATTAATACTCATTGTCACTCGTAATGCTCTTTATAGTAGAGACTTTGTAATCACAGATACAACTATAGTAATGTTGTTGAACAATACTGATGTGAGACCTTCAAATAACACTCACACTAATAGTTCTTGCTCAATAATACTCACTCAAAAAGTAACCACTGAATAGTGATCCCTTAGACACCATGCTAATTCCCATATATACATTTCCTTTACCATCACATGATCTACTTATTCAAAATGGAATTGCCTGTGTTTGCTCTTTGGTGATCTGTGTTCAAATTCCAGTGTTGGCAGCGACACTTTATTCCTATATAACATTTTATTTTTAAATAAAAATGATTCATAAATTACTTTTCTGTTTACTTGGGGGTGCAGCTGGCTACCTTTCAGGGGGCATCAGTGCACCCAGGCACTCTGGTTGAGAAACACTGCCCTATAGACTTGCACTACTGAATGACAAAGTATTTTACCAAATAACAAAAAATACGTTGCCTAACACTTCCAACAGCAGCAACAACTAAAATGGATAGCACATATAACTAGAAGGGAAAATAATGAGATAATCAAGATGTTGACTTTCCACACTACCTTAAACAGAAGGTTAGGAAGGAAACTCCCATCAGTACTAGAAAGAGCAATCAAAGTGAGCTAGAGAAATCTAATTTCCTGAAAAACTGCTATAAGAAAAATATTTTGTGAATTTCAACCAACAGTAATGCTAACTTAAATCAATGAATTCTGAATGCTTCATTCATTGACTTCGGCCATGTTGTGGTTTGTCTTTCCTCCCTCCCAGAGAATAATGGTCAGTTTAACTATACCCTCATTCCTGGTGAGTTGAAATAGTGACACTTGCAAATGGCCATCAGGAGGAGATTTAGGGAAAAGAAACTACTATCAGCATTTCATTCGGCCTAATAGCATTTGGTATGTGTTTTCTGTTGCTTGTCAGCTTGTTTGATTCTCTTTGTAAGTAATCATTCAATTTCAATCTCTTCCTTCTTTATTATGGATTACTGTTACTAATTCTTTTAGTTTAGAATAATGTTCCTTGATGCCAATGCGAACTTTAGCTTCCCCTCTCTCTCCTTCATTTCAATCCTTATTTTGAGTTCTTTGAATATGAATTCCTTGAAATAATCTTGCTAGCATTGGATGGTTAACTCGGGCGCATATATCATCCATGTTGTCTTTGTCTTTACTCCCTCTCGCCAAAGTGTATGTTGGCACTTTAACTAAGTTAAAACTTTATTGTACACAATTTTTTTTTGTGTGTGTGTGCATAATAGGAGTAAATAGGTCTGCCTATCACCTGGTCAATACCTCTCCCACTTCTCTTGAAGAGGTATACAGGTATTAGCGCTGTCATGAATCCCTTGATGGTAAGGCTTCCCTTCTTGATCTCTGTTTTACCTTCATCCCAGAGTCTTGTCATGCCATGCAGCTCTGTCCTCTTGGCAACTCTGATCATGCCGTCTGTTAACATGTCCTTTTACTTCTCCCCCAGTAAAGAACCCCCCTACCAACAGAACATCTTTCTATTATCGATATGTCCTGGAAAGGGATATATTTGAACAAAGTAGCTAAGTGGTTTTGGCTACAACAACCAATAGAATACGGTAGCAATAATCGACTGGTACGTGTTTTAGTCGCAAGTAAGAAGTGTAGATCAATGCCATAGTCCAATGTGCGTCGGTATAGACTTAGCTCTCAGACTAAGGCTCTCACTCTCCTACACGTCTGTCAGTATTTATGACTGACACCAGCCAATCATATTCCAGTGAGGGGGAACACAGGTGTACACATATTCCATTATATCAATTATCAATGAGCAGATTGGGATTCATTCTGAGATTAAAAAAATGTCCCCTAGAATACTGTCTTTAACGTCCCTGTCCAAAAATGTGTATCTGACGTCGCATCCTGGGTAAAAGCTGGAATTGAAGCTTTCATCCCTGCAAGAAAATATAAAGTTAAATCACATTGATCCCCTTGGTTCTCAGCTGCTTGCTCAGCAGCTATTGCCCATAAGAATCACTACTTCCCTCTGTACCGTAGAGACATGTCTTATTGCAACAGACGTCTCTTTGTCACTGCCCGTAACAGGTGCAAACATGTCCTCAAAGAAGCAAAGCTACTCTTTGCTGAACAAATGAAACGACATATTGCGTCAGCAAGTTTGGTTCAAAAGATTATTGACAGCTCTGCAAAAGTGTGCTGAACAACAGCAAACCCATAATACCAATTTGAGGTCCTGACCTCCTCAACTGATAAGGCTGAATGCTTTGCTTATAAATTCTCGTCCAATTCAATGCTAGACTCATCTGGTGTACCCAGACCTGATTTTCCCCCTAGAACTGAGGCTCTACTGAGTGAGATGCATATAACCCCAACAATAGTATTGGACATCATCTCTAAATTAGACTTCCCATAAGGCTAGTGATGGGGACAGGATACCGGCCATTGTCCTGAAGAAATGTGCTCCTGAATTGGCTCCTGTCCGCTCTAAACTTTACAACTCCTGCCTCACTGACTCTTGCTTTGCAGCTTGTTGGAAGTCCGCTTCTGTTGTACCTGTCTTTAGGAACTCTGGTGACCCTTCTGACTTTTTTAACTACTGTCCTATCAGTCTCCTACCACTCTTCAGTAAAGTCTTCAAGGTTCTAATCAACGCCGAAGTAGTTAAGCACCTTGCTTTGCATAATCTGCTCTCCAACACGCAATATGGTTTCTGCTTTGCCCGATCTACCACTGACGTGCTCATGGCCATAACTGAATTTGTATACCAAGCACTCAACAATAATGGAGAAGCTCAAGCCATGACTCTAGACATCTCTGAAGTGTTTGATACAGTTTGGCACATTGGCCTTCTTTGTAAGCTTCAGGGATATGGTATTACAGGACAACTATTTGACTTAATATAATCATTCCTGTCTAACATGAATGTCGTCCTAAACGGGTTCTCCTCTGGCTCCTTTATCTCAAATGCTGGTGTTCCCCAAGGCTCTTTCTTGGGCCCTACACTGTTCCTGATCATCATCAATGACCTTCCCAATGTCATCAGTTCCCAAGATTATAGGTCCTGCTCTGGCATCTAGTTTACAATTGCTATCCCACAGACGTGCTGTGGCCTTCCTCTGTCTCTTCTACAAGTATTTTCACAACAACTGTTCTGATGAGCTACTTTCACTGGTTCCTGGACTACATGAATTTAAGCGAGCTACCAGGCTGGCATCTCTGTCCCACCCTTTCACTGTCAAAACAGTTAAATGTAACTGTCTCTTCTACTCAAACAGCTTCTTCTCCTCACTTCCTGTCTGTAGAACTCCCTTCCCATTACTTGCTTCCCTGATGACTATAATCTTCAAATATTCAAATGTAATGTCAGTCGGCATCTGACACCCTGAGTTTGTTCCCCATTCTCTTTATCCTTTCCCCCAAACATGCCTCTTTAATCTTGTTCTCAATCCTCTGTAACCCCTTGCGTGCTAGTGGCACTCCCACCTTGCTTGGGGTGAATTGCTTTAAAAAAAATGGTTAGTATCATCATTGCTATTACCAACAATACTTAAAGAATTTTTTCAATATATTTAAACTGTTTGAAGGTTGTGACTATATTTTAAGATAAATTTTATAAAAAAATTGTTTAAATTAAGTATATAACATTTTTATTTTCCATTGCTCCAATTCAAGGCCTGCGTATTAAATTTCAAAATACAATTTTGTTCTTGCTTTCCAGCTTACTGGAAATCCTCTTCTGTAGTTCCTGTTTTTAAAAATGTAGTTTGAAGGAACAATCAGCCTTTTAGTCTTTTACTTCTTTTTGGCAAAGTACTAGAGGCACTAATCAACTCCAAATTGGTTTAGCATCTCAACTGACATGGTCTTCTTTCAGAAACGGGAAAATTTCATTCAAAACAAAGAAAAGTGTGCTAAACATCCATGTGACTTCAGCAATGATGTGTTCGTATATAGAAAACACTGAAAACATCATTGACAGAACATGTGAGTAATGAGGAAAAGGAGAACAAAAAAGAAATTTGAATTTATCATCAGAAAGAGACAGTTTTCTGATACACATAATGAGGGCTTGGAGAATTTAATACTCACAGGTATATTGAATGCAAGAGGAGCATTTGTAAATATTGAGTAACCTACCTAACAAGCTTGTGCAGAATTTTCTGTGAGTTCAGTTGGCCTTATTGAAAAGCTTTAAAACAATTTTAAAATAATTTTGTTCAACACTTATTTTGATGATGGTCCAATGCTGGGGAAGATTGTTCCAGAGAAGTTAATATTTCATAGAAAACAAAAAAAAATCTGAGCTAAAAAGTGACCTCCAATCTGTTCTTAACTGGGGCAAGAAATGACTTGTTAATTTTAACACTAACTAAACAAAATTGCTCTTTTTTAATCATCTCGGAGAACTTTTTTTTTTTACTTCCATCAGCATGGCTGATGGAAAATGCAATGAATACACTCTCTAGGAGAGTGTATTCATTGCACCTTTCCAAGTTATCTTTTTTGCTGGCATAAGGTGGAAAGATTATATTGAATCAATTGCTAAGAAAGCTGATTCACTGTGTCAATTTTTCTCAATAGAATTTGCCTTATACATTTATAAGTCTACCATTTCTACTGACTTTGAATATTACTCTCACATCTGGTCTGGTGCTTCTCTATGTATTTAGAAATTCTTGATAAAATCCAAAATATAATCTACAATTTTTATCAGTCCAGAAATGATATCTTGGCTTCAGTCACTTTCCCACCACACAAATGTAGTTTCCCTGTACATAAACGTTTTTATGGCAATTGTTTAAATGTGCTTTCCTCTTTTACAGATTTAAGCACAGTACTAGATTGTTAGCTACGTCTCATCATTTAACAGTTGATATGACTAGATATAACCATAATTCCTATACTAACAATTTTTTCATTTACACTTCTTATTTATGGAACACTCTTCCAGCCTCTTACTTTGCAATGAACTTTGATCTTCAAAAATTTAAATGCAATGTCAGTCATTATTATCTGTCTTAATTCCTGTTCTGTTATTGTACTCTTACCTTAATAATGTTTTTCTTTTTCTCAAATTCTTTCACATTCAGTAACTCCTTGTGTCTTAATGGCTTTGATGCCTTACTTGGGGTGAAATGATTAAAAAAGAAACAAAAAGAAAGAACTCTATACTTGTTAATATCTTGAAAATTATGTTGAATTTTTTTTCTTTCAGGTGACCACAGACTGGCAGAAAAAGTCAGGTACAGGTTGTACTGATGACCACACTGGTACCAGTGCTGCAGCTCCCATTGCTGCAGGAATGGTGGCACTTATGCTTGATGTTCAACCCTGCCTTAGTTGGAGAGATATTCAGTATTTAATTATATTATCTGCTGTTAAGGTCAGTATTCAGTAACCTAAGTTTGTCATTTGGTTAATGTCTCTTCTCCCTTGTAGCTATCTTTCGCTTCAAGTTTTCATTCTGGATTATATAAACTACATCTGGCAACAAGGCCTCTAATCAGGAGGTTTTGAAGAACATGGAGCCACTTTTTAATTGCTGTTGTTCCCAGGTCCACCCTGATGCAGGGTGATGGCACCTGTTAGGGTCTCAGCTATGGGCAAATATTGAACCCACAAACTGGGGTCAAAAAATGAAAATATTAAAAAAAAAAAAACACTAGCAAAAATTACCAGCTGTACATTTTCTTCATAAAAAAACATAAAATTGGAAAAAAAATTACAAAAATTCACAAGAAAATAAAATTTTGGCATTAAATGACACATAAGGAGTTGATATGGTGTTAACCAAACCTCTTCAAATTTAAGTTTTATGATAGCAGCCACTAGGAAATCCTGTCACAGTGGCTCTACACTTTTTTTTTTTTTTGCCTATTCACCCTTTTCATTGTATTTCAGAATATCATTTCTTACTACCAAGATTGCCTGATACAAAAGATGTATTTCATAAAAGTCAACTCCTCATTCTATTGCTCCAATAATTACCTCATTCTTTCTGCCATGCTTTATCTTTACAATAGAGGATTTCTGCCACATGTATCTCTTCTCTCCTGTAGCCATCTTTCTCTCCAAATTTTCATCCTGGGTATGATCATAAACTCCATCTGGCAACAAGGCCTCTGATCTGGAGATTTTTAAGAACATGGAACCACCACTTAGTTGCTGTTTGCAGGTCCACCCTGACCTGGGCTGATAGCACCTGTTAGATTCTCAGCTATTGGCAGCTTTCCAGCTTTGATGTTTGTTTGGAAGCATATCAACTCTTTATGGGTCATTTAATGTCGAAATTTTATTTTCTTGGGAGCATTAGTAATTTTTTTTTTTTTTTTTTTACAAAAATGTGTTACTGTTTTTTGTTTTTTTTTGAGGGTGGGGAGGGGTATTTTAAAAAATGTATTTCTGGTAATTTTTTTTATTTTCAAAAATGTATTGCTGGTATTTTCACTGTAAAAAATGTATTTTTATACTTTCACAGTGTTTTGGACCCAGTTTGGGTTTGCTTATAGCTGGGACCCTAACAAGTGCTACCACTTCATGTCGGGATGAACCTGAGAACTACAGCAATTAAGACTACAATCTTAACTTTTTCAAGTAAAGGGTTAATTGTTATCTATCCACCTTATCATCATAATCTTCAGTTCCTATCTACCACCTCTTTCACTCATAACATACCTCATTCATTGTAACCATTCTAAAAATAATTCTCTACCTTGAGTGGTTCTTGAGCCTTGTATTGGGTGAACTTAAGTATATATATATATATTTTTTTACATTGTAGTTTGTAGGAAAACCAATATTTGAACAGTTTAAATTTGTCATTTCTATAATCCCAATTTCCACCCATGAATCCCTAAAATTTAACTATCAATTTTGATAGATGAAAATGGAAAACAAACATGAAGTCAATATAAAAATGATAAAACAGTCCTGCATAGTGAACAGCTTATGGCCATGTCAGATTGATGATCCTACAGAAATTGGTGTTTCAAAGTTAAACAACGTTGAGCCTGGTCAAGTACCTAGATGGGTGCCTGCTTGTGAATACCAGGTGCTGTAAACTTGGATTCGCCAATGGGGTAATGGATAATGACTCTGAATTGTTAATCAAAGATCTGAGTTCCAATTCCAGTTGGATTTGTTATATCCCCTTATGCACAAATATTCTTGGGAAAGGTATGAATCTGTTATAATGGAACATACCTATTCTATTGTTAATAGACTCTCTCACCTATAATAAGTAGTAGTAGTAGTAGCAGTCGCCAGTGAGTTGGTGAGTCAGTCAATGTCGGACATTAAAGTATTAGCCACCACAACTAGATTGCTGCGTCATTAACTATTATATCAAGTTCCTAATGTTTTGTACGTCAAACCTTTTTAGGACCGACAGTGAAATACAAGCCTCCACTGTGAAACTACTCTATAACAGAATCATCTCTCTTCCCATCAGCTATGGGTTAATTAGACTTGTTTCACTAAATGATTATTATCTCCAAAATTAAAATTGTGTACAAAATATTTAGATTTCAGCTTTAAATAACCCAATAGAGGTTGATATGCTGCTAAACAAAAACAACCAACAGCATAAAAATAATCACAGCTCTTGGCTGCTTGTAAAACACAATGTTGTCCTCTACAAAAGTTTGATAAAAGATCTTTCAATAAAATTTATTACATAAATCCAGACTGACAGTTGAAAAAGAATTCAATAATCAGGAATTTTATATGAGCAATAAAACTCATTTGACACGCTTAGTCTTTGTTATTGATATTTTTTATATTGTCAGTAGTTAAAGGGATTTTAAACCATCCTCTGGTCAAACTTGTTCAGACTGTCAGGACTTCTGCACACCACCATTAGCTAGGGTAGATATTGAGCCACTTTCATAACAAACTTGTGCAAATGGTTGGTAGAACAGGGATTGGAAGAGATAATAAAGAGACATAAATGACTTATAATTGCAAAGAATAGGAAGTTGTAGCAAGTGCTGATGGCCCACGTCCTGAAGGGACATGACACATTAAAGTGGATTGTATTTCTTGAAAAATCATGCTTCAAAAAATCCCAATTGAGACCACATACATAATTTCTTTAGTATTTTGCTGAGCTTTATATTAAATAGAAATGAAATGATAGCTTTTTAATCACCCCACCCAAAAGTATTTTTATTGTAATAAATTGGCATTCACAAAGGTCTTGGTTAGTTAGATCCTTACTTCCATGTATATTTCTATTTCAATTATTAAATTTTCTTTAGAACCCACCACCCACCAAAAAAACTCTGATACTCTGTATTTTGTAGATATCTTGTCAGCTACAACAGTTTGATAAAAGATGTTTAAAAAAAAATTATTACATAAATCCAAACTGCCAATTCAAATAGAATACAGTGAAAAGAAATTTTGTACAGTGTAACCCGGATATAAGAGAGATCTTTTTCTGGTCCCAAATTAGAGCCTGTGTTAATGTTTATAAAATAGACCAAACCTGGATATAAGAGAAACCCGGATATAAGAGAGATCTTTTTCTGGTCCCAAATTAGAGCCTGTGTTAATGTTTATAAAATAGACCAAACCTGGATATAAGAGAAACCCGGATATAAGAGAGATCTTTTTCTGGTCCCAAATTAGAGCCTGTGTTAATGTTTATAAAATAGACCAAACCTGGATATAAGAGAAACCCGGATATAAGAGATCTTTTCTGGTCCCAAATTAGAGCCTGTGTTAATGTTTATAAAATAGACCAAACCTGGATATAAGAGAAACCCGGATATAAGAGAGATCTTTTCTGGTCCCAAATTAGAGCCTGTGTTAATGTTTATAAAATAGACCAAACCTGGATATAAGAGAAACCCGGATATAAGAGAGATCTTTTTCTGGTCCCAAATTAGAGCCTGTGTTAATGTTTATAAAATAGACCAAACCCGGATATAAGAGAAACCCGGATATAAGAGAGATTTTCTCTGGTCCCAAATTAGAGCCTGTGTTAATGTATATAAAATAGACCAAACCCGGATATAAGAGACTTCTTCTCCGGTCCCGACAACTCTCTTATATCCGGGTTACGCTGTATTAGCAATAAAAATCATTTGGCATAATTGCTCTATTTTTACATCTTATATATTGTCCATCAGGAAAAGTATAGTCTGCCATTATAGTTGATCTTGCTCAGACTTCCATGAGCCATGGATATCGCCCACCTTGGTCATTCATCAAATTCAATAGGTCATCTAGGAGATATCCTGCATTTGAACATAGTAGTTAATATATGTTGTTGCTGATCAACTGACCTGGGTGTGGTCATACCTGGGTGTCCAGAGCAGTAAGTTACTTGCTAACATATTTATGTCTGGCATACCAGCAATATCCAGAAAAGTGCATTCACTATTAACAAATTATTTCTAGCGATTCACTATATAATTAATTCATTGCAGGATGATTTTTCTGTGAAATGTTTGGCATAGTTCTAAGCATAAAGATGTATGTCACTACCAGCTTTCATTCTCAGGTCTTAGAGTCCATGCTGTTGCATAGGTACCACCAATAATTTGTTGAAAAAAAGAGCATAGCATGATGAAAAAGGCCTCAAACTTAATAAAAACAAAGTTTTATCTTCAATGTTTGCTATTATTAAGAGGCAAGAACAAAGTGTTTTTTAATTATTTTTTTTCTAACACATACAACATTTTTGTTAAAAATCTTCTTTTTTTTTTATGTGTCAACGGTGAAATAGAATTGGTAATGGAAATTTTTGCTCCTGTTTTCCAGTAAAATATCATTAATTTGGAAAGTCTTGCAAAAATCAACTAATTTTCGGATTTTAATGAAACTTTCAGGACTTCTTCACAAATGAATTACATTACAAGGCGATCTTCCTGCGACAATATTGCAGCTATAGCACAGTCCCTGGCATCGGTAGTTAACGTCAATTCTTTTGCTGGGTCAGAAATTTTAACAACTGATTTCACCGGCCTTCTTCAGATGCTTTTTGATCTGAATGTAAATAACTCTCCTCATTCCCGAAATTCAGACAGAAACCAATATTAACATTTATATTTTTTTACTGCATTAATTTTCTCCTCTTCTTTTCTCCCTCTATGAACTTTTATATGCACTGCAGTCGCACACAAATACAGTTCTTTCATATCCTGTTTATGCCTGGGTTTATTACAATCATTAGTTTTTTTTCTCTTGGCCTTGCAGGTTGATGATGACTCTGAATGGCAAGAAAATGGTGCAGGTCTGAACCATAGCCACAAACATGGCTTTGGACTCATGAAAGCTTGGCGGATGGTTAATGCAGCCAAGGTGAGTAAAACGTTTTTCTCCTTCACCTCTAGTTCTTTTCATTTTTCTCTTTCTTTCTTTCTTTCTTTCTTTTCATTTTTCTCTTTCTTTCTTTCTTTTCTTTTTTCTCTTTCTTTCTTTCTTTTCTTTTTTCTCTTTCTTTCTTTCTTTTTTCTTTTCTCTTTCTTTCTTTCTTTTTTTTTTTCTCTTTCTTTCTTTCTTTTCTTTTTTCTCTTTCTTTCTTTCTTTTCTTTTTTCTCTTTCTTTCTTTCTTTTTCTTTTCTTTTCTTTCTTTCTTTTCTTTTTTCTCTTTCTCTTTCTTTCTTTTTTTTTTTCTCTCTTTCTTTCTCTTTCTTTTTCTCTTTCTTTTTTTTTTTTTTTCTTTCTTTTTTTTCTTTTTCTTTCTTTCTTTTTCTCTTTCTTTCTTTCTTTTTTCTCTTTCTTTCTTTCTTTTTCTCTTTCTTTCTTTCTTTTTCTCTTTCTTTCTTTCTTTTTTCTCTTTCTTTCTTTTCTTTCTTTTTCTCTTTCTTTTTTTCTCTTTCTTTTTCTCTTTCTTTCTTTCTTTTTCTCTTTCTTTTTCTCTTTCTTTTCTTTCTTTTCTTTTCTTTTCTTCTTTCTTTCTTTTCTTTCTTTCTTTTTTTCTCTTTCTCTTTCTTTTTCTTTTTCTTTTTCTCTTTCTTTCTTTCTTTTTTCTCTTTCTTTCTTTCTTTCTTTTTTCTCTTTCTTTCTTTCTTTCTTTCTTTTTTCTCTTTCTTTCTTTCTTTTCTTTTTTCTCTTTCTTTCTTTCTTTTCTTTTTTCTCTTTCTTTCTTTCTTTTCTTTTTTCTCTTTCTTTCTTTCTTTTCTTTTTTCTCTTTCTTTTTTTCTCTTTCTTTTTTCTCTTTCTTTCTCTTTCTTTTTTCTCTTTCTTTCTTTCTCTTTCTTTTTTCTCTTTCTTTCTCTTTCTTTTTTCTCTTTCTTTTTTCTCTTTCTTTCTTTCTCTTTCTTTTTTCTCTTTCTTTCTTTCTCTTTCTTTTTTCTCTTTCTTTCTTTCTCTTTCTTTTTTCTCTTTCTTTCTTTCTCTTTCTTTTTTCTCTTTCTTTCTTTCTCTTTCTTTTTTCTCTTTCTTTTTTTTCTCTTTCTTTTTTTCTTTCTTTTTTCTCTTTCTTTTTTTTCTTTCTTTTCTTTTTTCTCTTTCTTTCTTTCTTTTCTTTTTTTTTTAAATTTCATGATTACTTATATCAGGTAACCAGAAATGCTTGTGAATTTTTTTTTTTGTGCTCTCTTTTATTTATTTTTTAACTTTGAGAAAGGTAAATCTTTGGAATAGCAGTAGTCTTCTATGTCCCTTAAGGTCGTTGACAATCATGGCTCTCTAGAATTTCCTGTCTTTTGTAGCTCTTAGTAAATTTTGCCTTTTTGTCATTTCTCCTAAACCCTGTTCTACCATTGATTTGGTTATGCGCTGTTTTCCTCTGTCCCTCTTGTCTTCAGTATGTCCTGTGAGTGTCAGATTTTCCAAGCCCTCTTCCTACATTATGTGCCCTAGAAATTTCAACTGACTCCTTGAAAACTACACAGATTATTTATTTATTATCCAATAACTTAGACATTTTAAAAGTCTAGATAAGGTGTGACATGGGGGATTGCTACACAAATTGACTAACTGTTGAATCACTGGGGAGTCCTCTCAGTTATCAAATATTTCCTGTCAGGTAGGTCTGTGAAGGTTGGCATAAATGGCCAGGTTTCTGAGGCACATGAGATCAATGTTGGCATTCCTCAGTGATTTCTCCTCGGTTCTGCTCTCTCTCTCTCTGCTTTATATCAACAATCTGCCCAAGAGCACCCTCAGATCCTTAGTAAATATATATCCAGATGTATAAGTGCATCTCCAGATGGTTTGATGGCCAATGCCTGACAGCTGATCTTTCCTCTGTCTTGTCTCTCACAGTTCAGAGGTGAAAAGACTGGCTGGTATCATTCAATACATCCAGAACTAAGCTAGTAACATTTCATCACCACCAAGCAGACCCTAAACCTGCACCAGTCCTGATGAGTGATACCCTCAAAAAGGCTTCTTGTCCCAACCACCTACTGGGTTTAAAGCTTACTCCTGACCTCAAGTGGAACACATATATTTGTGTCATCACAAAAGATGCTGGAAGAATAGTCGATTCCTTGTATTGTTCCAGAAAATACTGTTGCTGTCATGCTCTATCTTTACAAGAGTCAAATCCGACCAAGAATGGAGTATCTGGGATGGTGCTGCTCAATCCTCACAAAAGTTCTTACACAGAATTTTGGGTGGCGATAAATTATTCTCCACCTTGCAACTTTGTCCTGGGTACAATGTTAAACTACATCTGCGTCCTGGGTACGACGATAAACTATGTCCAACAGCAAGGCCTCTGATAATACAATTTTGAAAAAATAATGTTGCCAGCTGTATGTTTTTGAAAAAATAATATTACCAGCTATACATTTTTGAGAAAAAAAATATTAGCAGAAATGGATTTTTGACAAAACAACAAAAATATTACCAGGAAAAAAAAAGCAGTTGGCATTAAATGACCCATTGAGGTTGATATGCCATAAAACAAAACAAACCAAACCAAATCCACTATGCAACCCTTATCCCACAGACAAAACATTGTTTGCCTCTTGCTACTATATTGCTATTACTATAGCAGATATTCAGACAAGTTACATTCTTTATTTCCACCAGCTCAGATCTTCAGAGCTAGAACCCATCATGTCATGTTCATGGTGGCAACCCATCCCCATTCCCTTTGTGTTCCCTTGATAAAAAGCAAATTCCACTTGGATAGCTTTTTCCTCAGAACTGTTACTTTGTGGGACAACTGCTTCCATGACAACTACAATCTTGGTCTCTTTATGTCCAGGGTCAATCAATATCTGTCCTACACGTCCTCATAGTACTCTCTTATCCCCCCACTTCTCTTACAACAATTTCACTCACTAACCCTCTACATTGAGTGCTTCTTGGGCCTTGTATTGGATGAATGAACAGTAGAAGACAAACACAAATTTTATGAGTATCCATATAGTAGTAATTAGTTAAATCCACATGTGAGATTTAAATGTGTGAAATATTGTCTGCTATACAATTTTAAACATGGAATAAATACAGCAGAAGTGTGGCACAATGTGTATCTGCTTGATTATTTAGGACACCAATTTCTTAATGATTCTATCTGGACCTGAGAGAATGTAGAAGTAGCAGCAAAGATGTTTCAGGTGAATTGATTCATGAATAAAGAACCTCGTTTATCAGAACCAACAGACTTATTTTCTATCTCAACAAAAGGTGATATTTCAAATTGGGTCATATTTGAGATTTTTTTCCCTACATGATATATTACATTCATTTTTTTCTGTCAAGCATATGTCAGGCTTCCTACATTTGTTCACACCAAGATAAACAAAAACTGAATGACAGCGTAAAGCAATAGCTGACCTGATGGACTCTAGAGCATGTTCACAGAAGCAGTTCTGTACACTGTTTGGTGGGGCATCTGAACAATTGCCCCATAGGATAACTGTCCCTATTAAGCGAAAATTAAGAGAAAGCACAACTTGATGTGGGTAATAAATACTAAAAAAATTAATTTGGATTTTGTTGTAAACCTAGAAAATGTTACTGAATGAGGAATAAACAAAACTGAGGTTGAAAATGAAATGGTAATCTTTATAACATCAACAAAATACAATACACTCACCAACGGTGTGAAGTAGGCAAACCACTGCTAGTGATGGACTACTTAGCATATTACCCCCCCACACACACACACACCACCAACCACCACCACCTTACAATAGTGTCCAACATATTTATGAGGATTGGGACATAACCATTAGTGTTCATATGTATGGTATTAACAGGTTTTAATTATCCAATAAGATTTATATTTTTATATTACTATAATTAAACCACTAAGATTGCAAATTGTGGGCTATACACTAATACAATAATTACTAATTACATAATAACTATTTGGTTAATCTAATGTTTATAGAAAACTAGCAGGCTTTGCCTGCTTGTTATCGCTTTGCAAAGTAAGACATATTCACTACTTGAAATATTTCAAAAAAAAAATTTTAAATGGATATTTCATTTATAAATTGGCTTGTTATAGTTTAGGAAAGTTTTAAAAATAGATGCCAACTTGTTGAAGGCTGAGTAAAATGCAAATTTAAAACACTTTTTATATAATATATAAGGACTAAACAGGAGTATTTTTTATATGAAAATCAAAACAATCCTTGAATAAAAGAAAAGTAATTAAGGACAGTTAATTAATGAAATAAACTTTTTTTTAAAATCAATATGCAAATTAGTTAAACCTGAAGAGTGATATTGACTAGATTATATACTATACAGATATTGATCTTTTAGTGTGTAAATTCCTCTTTGGAGGGATTTCTAATGCATGGCCTATCATCTCTCAGTTGCGTCTTTGTCTTTGGGCAGAGTGTGCTCAGGATCTTCTCTGTCAAAGGACAGAGGGGCACCTGAGAAAATTATACTGAGAGGTGCCTAGCCCTGGGGAACAGCTGTCCAAGGCTGTCCTCTCATTGCACTAGAGAGAGGGATTGGTGCTTGCACCGAGACCAGTGCAACCAATGGTTGCAGAGGCTCAGTGAATTTTTGTTCCTAGCCTGGGTGTACACGCTCGGGATCCCCACATTAAACTGACCTTGTGTCACAACACGACTTCTTGCGGGGGTAAAGCAAATACCAAATTACTATAAAGTAGAGCTGGTACTTTTTAATCCCAGAATTTGTGGGAGAATTGAGCTCCAATTTCGCATTTATTCATATAGATTCCATAATATACATTTTACTTAATTAGCTATTATGCTTCTGTAACTTCTATTTTCCCATCTTTACATTATGTTAATTTTATCTTACAAATTGTCCCCCTGTTCTGTCACCCATGAAATAAAAATAATTGTTTGTACAGAAAATAAGGATCTCTGTACATCAAATCATCTTTAAATTAAGTGGCAACAGAAGAATTATCATTGAAATTTCAAAAGGTAAGCTTAAACATTAATTCAATACTTAAATGCAGCGATCAATTTTGAGTTCTTCTATAGTTTATTGATGCCTATTGCATCTGCTCCTCCCTAGCTATTGTGATGATGGCCAAACCAAGACTCCTCCACATTCCAACATAAAAGAAAAAATTCCATAATGGATAACTTTTCACATTCTAATGAATACTAAAGCATAACTGTCAGCAATAGTATTTAAATGCAAAAGATAAAGTAATGGGTAGCTACACATAGTTTTTACCTTACCAGTTGCACCCCTGATGATGATGATCTAAGAAAGAGATGGAATGTACTTGAGGAAATAAGTGATTCTCACTGCTACAAGGCATTTCTTGCTTTATTTAATTGTAATATACAGAAAAATATTTGTGAATATGAAAGGATTATGATAAAAATAAGCAGATGCAATGTTTGTAATTTATTCAATCAGACATGCCTAAAAGAGAATTCGCTGCCTAAATACACACACACACACACACACACACACATATATAGATTTTCAAGACATTATGAAATATCAGTCCCTAGTTTTTGAATTGTAAAATAAACAGCACTTAATTCTATTTTTACACCAGCATAAGCATATAGTAGCATTCAATACAACTGATTAGTGGCATATTTTTATTATATTGAGCTCGTTAATAAGATCCAAAGCAGAATCAGCAATATTATTGGTTCTGATCTGGCAGCTTGGCTTAAGTTACTTTCCCACCACCATAAGTTTGCCTCTCTGTTCTTTTTCTAAAAATACTTTCATAGTAATTGTTCGGATGAGCTCTCTGCTATGGTACCTAGACTTTTTTTAATTTAAGCCCTGTACTAGACTGGTATCAAGATCTCATATCAATTTACATTTGAGCTGGCTAGAAGTAACCATAAATTCTATGCTAACAGTTTCTTTCTTTGCACTTCTCACTTGTGGAACCTCCTTCTGGCTCCATGCTTTCCAGCCAACTTTAATCTACAAACATTTTAATGCAATGTTAATCACTGTCTACTGTCCTTCTGATTGCTCTTTTTGTTCCTGCTCATTATTAATGTTTCTGTCCCTAATTCTTCCACACCTTGTAACCCCTTGTGTCTCGGTGGCTTTAATGCCTTGCATGGGGTGAAAAAAAAGTGTCTTGGGGTTTCATTTAGCTTAGTCTGTACTGCAGCGTATCCTACTGAAGCCAAAATAGTGGTGCCCTTTACAAATCACAGCTAGTTATTATTTTCCAATAAATGGTGATTTCCTATTCTTCCTAAGATGGGCCAGTATAGCCAGGCAACAATGTTATAAAAAATCATCAAAGAATGTGTTAATTAATCTAACAGCAAAGTAAGTTGTAGTAGCACTGAGTAGTAGAGTTTAATCATTTAGTTTCAAAATTAGATAGTTATGTTTCTTTATCTATTAGCTATCATGAGCTATGATTCATTGATTACTCCTGGTATTATATAAATCACTTTTTTGCTCAATGTCTTTCATGTTAAAAATTTTATGTGCTTAATATAACTGAAATGGAAATATCTCTCAGAAGAAAAAAATTAGCAACAGAATGACGGCAACAATAAAGCCTATTTCAAGTTCAAGTTGAAGCATGATCATTTAATAGACAAAGGTAACTAAGTGCCTCACATGAAAGGCTTGAAGAAATAAGACTGTAATTTAAGAAACATAGGAGTAAAGGAACTAATTAATTAAATAGTTCATTTTTTCTCGGGAACTAATTTTGTTGAAATGCTGATAAATATTTTATTTATGTAGATTATTAAAATGACTAAGGAAAGTAATCATTCATAAATTTACTAATTTGATTTACCTCCTTTCCTACTACAGATGGGACAGAAAATATATAAATACACATTGATAATTATTATATGGTTTATGAGCTTTAATTTCCCCTCTTTCACATTAGAGAAAGCACAAAAACTTCATTTTTGTGCTTTTTTTTTTTTTTTTTTTTTTTTTTTTTTTTTTGCTCCCACTTCAGCCTTGTACATCATGAAAGCTGATTCCTAATAATTCATACAAATTCTGTTTTGTATATATTTACTTTGTGGTAAATCATTTGGGAATTTATCAGCTGATCTAGTAGGAAATCATTTCCATGTCATCCAACAAATATGCAATCATTATTCTACAGTCCTAGATGAAGTCCTTGAACTAATAGCTGCAACTAATGTACACATTAAATAATACTTTGTTTAAATCAATTAAAGAATTAGTTATTATTGTCTTGATTATTTAAAAATTCTATCCTTACTTTTTCAGGTATGGACGATGGTCCCCTGGTTGACTGCTTACACTACAGATGTCCTGATAGTTAAACATAGAATTCCAAAAAAAGAAGTTCTAATCACAAGTTATGAAGGTTTGTTCAGTAAATTAATTTTTCTCATTAGAATCCAGCTTGCACATCTACAATGTCAATTATCATATTCTGTCTACTTTATTCCTGTTCTTTTATTGTCCTCTCTGTTTCTTTTACTCTCAGTAGCACTTTGCATCTTTGTGGCTTTTATCACCTGGTCTTAGGGTGAAATAATTTTTTTTTAAATTTTACAAAAATTTAAATTTTTTTTTTTTTTTTTTTTTTTTTTGCAGTAACTGCAGATGAACTTCGTGGCTATGTCCTTAATATGTTGGAACATGTCCTGGTCACTGTCAATATAACACACCACAGCCGTGGTCAGTTGGACATTAGGCTTCTATGTCCTAGTGGTACAGAATCCAGCATTGGTCCACCAAGATCTAAAGACAAGTAAGTTTTTGTTCCTTAAAAGAAAAATGGTCCAAGGATTATCTCTGAATCCAACTTTAATAAAGAGCTAATCTGCCAAAACAATAAAACATTCTGCATGTTTGAAAGTAAATCTTTTTTCTTCTCAGTCCAAGCAAGGTGGGTATGCCACTAGTATATCATGGTTTACAGTGATTAAAAATGAGTGAAAAGACTGAGTATAGGCAGGATTGAAGAAAAGACAAAAGATGAATGTGATTCAAGAAGACAGAAGATGGCAATTGACTTTGCATTTAAAGTTTTGATGATTGTAGCTATCATGGAAGCAAGTAAATGGAAGGGATTTCCACAGGTGGCAAGTGCAAGAAAAACTGTTGGAGTAAAATTGGCAGTTGCATTTAGCTATTTCAACAGTAAACAGGTGGGAGCTAAATGCCAATCTAGTAGCAAGTTTAAATCCATGTAGTCAGAGCCACCAGAGATAAAAAGATCATCAGAGAAGTTGCCATTAAAATATTTGTAGAAAAGATAGGAAAGCCACATCACTTCAGTGAGAAAGTGAGTGAAGTCGATATGCCAAGTCAGAATCGATTACATTACAGGTCCTTCTTTGGATTTTGTCAAGAACCGCAAGATGAATAGCAGGAACACCATACCAGATATAGCAGCAGTATTCAATGCATGGACAAATGGTAGATTTGTAAATGTGTAAGATGGACTCTGACAAGAAAAATTTTCTGGCTTGACACAGTGACCCAATTTTCCTTGCAGTAGATGTAGCTATTGATTTGATGTAGTCACTCCACTTCAAGTCAGTTGAAAACATGAGGCCAAGAAGGTGCAGAGTGTTGTTCTCCAGGAGTCTAGCGTCAACCATGCTGATGGCAGGCAGAAATGCTTAATTGTACTTGTAAAGTGATTAGTTTTGAGTTCAGATTCAATTATGGTTTTTAAATCTAAATTTTATACAAACTTTACAAATAATAATAGTCTCAGTATTTAATAAACCCACAAAGGTTGATGCGTGACTAAACAAAAACAACCTCACCTAATCTCAAGTGGGATCTCGTACTAATTATTTTATTTCTCAAACTACAATTGTGTTTGTTGTTTTTTACTGCTGGCTTAAATTGATTATAGTACAGCTGTTTAAATGTTAGTACATGAACAAACTCAATAAAGAAATAGGCTTACAGCCATATCACATTGAAACACTGATTCTTGTACTATCACCAAAGTCCTTTAGCCTTCTACATTATTAATATTACATCTCTTTCCACTGCGTTCTTTTTCAAAGCCTCTCAATTGCAGTATCCTTATTGTAATTTCACTCAAAGTTGTTTTCTGTTGCCATACCCAGGATATGACAGCACAACTATGAAATCCAGATTCAAATATAAGTCAACTTCAATGCAGGATAAACATTTTGTAAAGCAAATGAAGTCACAGAGTGATAAAGGTTAAGCAATATCAAGTCTGGTCAGCACCTAGATGAGTGTTTGCTTGCGAATACTAGATATTTTTTTTATTAGTTTTTGCATGTGTTGCTGGTGTAATGGATAATAGCTGGGAATTGGCAATCGGAAAGCAGAGTTCCAATTCCAGTCGGGTTTGTTCTATTCACTTACATGCAAATACCCTTTGTTGTTGACTTTTCACTCTACCTTAAACAAAAGGTTAGGAAGGAAACTCCCTAGAAAGAGCAATTGAGAAGCTTATTTTCTTGAAAAAACTGTTTCTATAGAAAGATTTTTATAAATTTCAATCAGTCATTTTGATCAATGAATGCTACATATTTCCTGTATGAAAACAGCTAATATCACCATTATCCTTGTCAATATTATTGTAATTGAAATTGAAGAGGCAGCTCCAATCTGTATACCATGCCAGGAGGCTTATACAATATGACACATTTTGACAAATTGTTTAGACTTGAAGCAAACTTGCCAAAGGTACTACAAAGAAACAAACCTGAAAGAAATATTCCTCCAAGTAAAACCTTCAAAAATACTTGAATATATAAGAGAAACTGGTCTCAAAATCTAGAAGAGATTGTGATAAACACAAATATATCAAGATATATACCTCCATGAAACTGCTTACTTCAAGATGCCTACTCAAACCAAGAAACACATTTAACTTAAGATTCTTTAAAGTCACTCAAACCAATTTTCGGCATAAAATGACCATTAAACAATCAATCAATCAATCAAATTGAAGCTAGAATAGATAGCATGCAAATACTTATTTGGATTTTTTTCTTTCATAAAATTAAGTAATTTAAACATCATTGGTTCATGGCGTAATGACTGACCAGTACTATTGAGTTCAATAATCCTAGGTGGTCTATATTTATGTCCTTGTCCTTTTAAATAACTTACAAAGGGTTAAGACTGAGAAAATCAATCAATCAATTGGGATTATCCGAACATATTTTTCAATCCCTGTCCCAAGTTGTCTGTATAATTGAGGAAGTACTGGATTTTTTTTTTAACTCTCTCATCTGTACTTCTTTCAAGCTATAAAAATTTGTGTTCAATTTTTTTACATTTTACCTTTGTTGTTTTTGTGACTAGATCAAATAAAAATAAATATAGACTGGTGGTTCAGTACAGTACGTTGTTGGGGAGAGACCCCAATTGGTACATGGAAACTCATTATTAAGGATATTGGTAAGATTTGTTTTTTTTTCTTCCGTGTTTTTGTTTGTTTCAATCTGTTTTTATATAACACATTTAAAATGTTACTCCAAGTAAACTACACATAATACCCATATAACTGTATAACCTTAAGTTTGACTTAAAAATGTTTCTCCTTTTAAATTCAATGCAGAGTTAGATATTTGTTACAAAATAGAAACGTTAATTTGCTTTTTTTGTTAATAAAATCTTGTATTACTCTACCAGTGGAGTCTAGGGTAGGGATACAAAAGGGCACTTATTGCCCTTTGGTTAAGACAGTTACAAGGCTCACATGATGGCCAGTAAATGACGTGAGCTCACACAGTGATAAAACCTGTGTTGATATTTAGTATGCATAGAGGCAAGACATGTCTGCCCATTGCTAGTTACAAATGATAGACCACTAATGTGCTAAACATCATCTTAGGCCTACAGCAGTCAGAACTGAAGATCCCACAGTAGTGTGTCTAGGACAAGCTTGCCTAATGGAACCCATCTCTCTTCTGTTTTGAATTCAATTTTCTTTCTCATAGACTTCAATTTCAAGAATAAGGAGCCCAGTCAGTTTTTAGACTGGTTGTTCTACCAAGGCTACAAAGCTCAGTCTGCCTTGCTATTTACCCATGGCTAGAGGAGAAGAGATAAATTCATGCCTTTCCAAATAACATTACTATGAATTGAATGCAGAAGCTTCCATTGTAGTTTGAATCCAATTTCTGTGCTGGTAACCATTTATCCTATGTCAACATTCCAATTTCTGTCTGACATCGGCAAGCACCATGCTTATGTCTTACTTTCAGATTGAACACTTTAGTGCAGCATGTTCTACTCTTCTGTTCAAAGTCACTTGATCCATTCTGGATGAAGTTTCTCGACTCTCAGTTAAATTTTCTCAAGTGTTTATATCAGTCTTCAGGCTGGTGGTTTGACCCTACATTCCAAATCTACAAATAATCATGTAAGATTGGGGCTGGGCTGAAGAGTCATATACATGCACATTGTCATGCAGTGATTGGTAAGAGGATGGCATTCTTCTGACAAGAGTGTGCAATCATCATGCCAACATTCCACTTAGACATGTGTTAGAAGTTTAGTTAGGTACCTCCACGAGATCGCTAAAAAAAGAGCATAGCATGATGAAAAAGACGTAAACTTGACGAAAAACAAAATTTTATCGTCTAAATGTTTGTTATTATTAAGAGGAAAGGTCAAAGTATTTTTGGGGTATTTTTTTTTTCCATTTTTAATCGTTCCTAGCACGTCCGAAATTTTCGTTAAAAATCTAGTTTTTTTTGTCAGCAAAATTGACCATTTTTTTTCCATTTTAAAAAAACTGGAAATTTGATTTTGAAATTTTTTAAATATCAATTATCATTTTTTCAAAACTTATTTTTAAGAAAATCAGAAATTATAATGTTTATTTAAAATATTTTGAACCAAACTTAACTTAGCTTTTTTGTGCCAAAAAGATGTAATTTGAAAATAAAACAAAGCAGGTCATAAACTTTCGCATCTCTTGACATGTGATGAATGATATATTTACGAATTCCATGAGGCTAATTTGTTCTACGGAAGGAGAAAAGTGAAATAATTTACATTTACGTGAACAAATTATTTACCCGTTATTTTTAACTAAAACTTTCAGCGGTCTAATTTTTTTTTTTTTACTTAGCTTTCACCTTTACATTTATGATGCTTTATGGGAAATATATTGTAAAGAAATTAAAATAAAACTGTTAAGAGTGACATTAAATTTCATATTTCTTAAGAAAGGTATCTAATTAATTTATAGGTACCTTTCTTATGAAATTTTATCAGAATTGTACATAAAATACTATAATTTTATGTACATTTATTACATTCTACTGTTATTTGTATTTGCATTCATTTTATTATTAATTTTGATATTTCATTTATGGAAAAATGTCGTAACTGAGATTAATATAAAAATAAGATCATATAAATTTCATAAGATGATACTGATACTTGTAGGTACCCTTCTCAGTTGAAATTGAAAAATCAAATTAACTTCTCCACACGTGTTTCGCAAAAGTAAAGGCCTTAACAGCAGAGAACAATGCTTAACTCAAATAACGCAACTTAATTATATTCTGGTTGGTCTTCCATATTTTATAATTACAGCTCGATTATAAGCACAAAATTACATTTCTTAATTATGGGTATCTTCTGATTAGTCAAAATGATACAATTTACAACGCGCTAAAAAAAGATCTATCTCATAAGGACACTTATGAAAGCCGATGTGGCTTTTAACTAATTTTATATTATTTTAACAACTTAAATGTAAAATCTATTATAATTAATGAAATAACAAATAATTGTATTAAAAATTCATTTTTCATCGAAAAAATTTTTTTGCTTTCAGAAAATATTGTCCATATTCATAAAAACAACTAAAAGCAAATAAAAGCATTTGAAATTAAATAATATATTTGTTTTATTGAGTTTTGTATGTTACAATTCAGAGCTGATTTTCAGGTACTGCGTATCCAATTAAAAAAAAAAAAAAACATGATTTGCATTCCTCAAAGCCCTGTGCTTTTAATTATTGTAATCACTAAAACCGATGCGATCGAATTTCTAGCGTTTTCATAAAATTAGTTATGGGGGGGTAATAAATATTTAAAAAAATATTTCTACCATGACTTTCATAAAAAAAAAACATATTTATAATAATTTCGATCATCTGTGAATAGTTTCTGAAAGTTTCATTAACATCCGATAATTATTTCTATTTTTGCACGATTTTTTCAAATTAATGTGTCACACAAAAAAAATGTGCTAAAATTGTCTATGTTATTTACTAGTTCCGCTGATACAAATAGAAAAAAGGTTTTTTTAATCAAAATTTAGAATGTTCTAAAAAGAAGGAAAATTTTTTAAAAATAATTAAAAAAAACTTTGGTCTTTCCTCTTAATAATAACATAAGCATTTAGACAATAAAATTTAGTTTTCGGCAAGTTTGGCGTCTTTTTCATCAAGCTATGCTCTTTTTTTAGCGGTTTCGTGGAGGTACCTAAGTTTAGTAGAATTTTAAACTTTCATCATCCATTTCAAATAAAGGTCTCTCATCACATTTTATTTATATGCAACTAGGATTGATTAGTGATTATTTATTTATATGTATTTATTTGTTCCAGGTGAAGACCAACAATATGGTACAATTGATTTTTGGAAGTTGAAATTATACGGTACTCCAATGTCACCCAACGAATTCCAAAAACGAAGAAAGTAAGGACTTAACTGTCAGAATACTTAAACAGACTGGTAAAAATAGGAAAAAATTTGGTAGGGTAATAATTTTTGTAGATTAGAATTCCTTAGACCTTCCATACAATTTTTTTTTCTTTTAAATCATTTTAGAAGCAGGGACCCTGTTCATAATATTAATACAGTGTAAAATTGATTCCTGACTTTTTACAGAGTTACTTAATTGTTTTGTATACAAAAACATTTTTTTTTTACCTTTTTTTTTTTACTAAAGATTTCTTTTAGATAAAGAACAAATGAGTATATACATTTTTAATTAAATAACAAAAATTTATATATATTAGTAAAAGTATATATTCATTTATTCTTTTAAAAAGAAATAATTATTATTCCTTCAATGTTTGTGCATGTAAAAAAGTTAGTGAATGATTTGACTGCATTTATTTTATGAACAGGATTACACTTCTAAATTAATAAAAAAAAAAAATCTATATTTTTCAATCCTGACAATTGTTGTGGTTTCATGAATAGTTAATGAATGCTAATCTACAAAAATGATTCCCTGAGAATTTTTTTTTTTTTTTTTTACAAGTGAACCAGTCTATCTAAGTAGTTCCAAGAGCTTTTACTGATTGTAGCCAATGACTTAGAATGTTGGAGTGCAGTTAACCTACTGCACTATTTCTCACCTGCTGATTGGTTTACCCGACTTGCTACAAGTCATCTTGATGCAATTCCGAAAGTTGCTCATTTTAAGTCTCAAACTAATCCTACTGGAATTTAGCAAACTGTTTTATAAACTGTCATGCATGTGCCATTCAAAGACAGGCACATATTCCAAAGAGTAATTTGTCAGTGAATGCTGTATCCAATTTTAAAATTTTGCAACCATATAACCCAAGATGAAAAATATTTTTAAGACTGACTTCTATGACATAATGCAGTTCATCTTGATCAAAGACCAATGGTCAACCAAGTTAATGTCTAGTGTCTCAAATTTTCCATTCTAATAAATCATTCATAAACTGGTACTGGTTACCTTGCTAAGTCCATATCAGTACGTGATGCTGTATCCTTAACTGCTAATGTATCCTTTAATTACATCATCATACTTTGACAGATATATCCTTTGATCACCCCACCCATAACCATCTTTGGTCATGTCACATTATTCAATAGTAATTACAGCAAGTAAATAAGTAAAATAGAGAAGCAAATAACAACCAAATGTGACTGAGAATGTATTTACTTGCAAGATTTAAAATTTTTTTTTAAATTTCTTTCCAGGAAAGTGCTTTGGGCCATTAAAAATTCAGCTCTTTTGGATCCAATTATTAATGTTCCCTGTCACCCACCACCCAAACATGGCAAAGGTGCAGGCTCTATTCCTCTTTCTGAGAAAACTCTAAAGGTGAGTTTTTTCTTTGTTTTTTTATTCTTCACCACTTCCTTTGAATAAAATAAAGTTTACTGTTTTATATTGAATAAAGGATTATTGATTGAAATGATTGTTGATAGATCAGAAAGAAAGAATAAGCATTTCTTAAGTGAAACCTTGTCATTATTATTAATTTTTGACTAGTTTCTCATTCATTATTGATGCTTTTTATCTGAACTCTCAAGTCATTTTTACATTCTTATTACTGTTAAAGTAAGTAGCCGGTATAAAAAAAGAAAGAAAGAAAGAATAAGAATTTCTGAGATGAAACATTGTCATTATTAACTTTTGACTAATTTGAATAATAAAACAGTTTGTAGAGATTACCCCTGATTCATGCAATAGTTTCCATATTGGGATATACATATTTATAAAATTTCTTCTTGTATAAATCAAATATGGAATAAAGTCTAATCTGAAATCAACCAACTCCAGTATATTTTAAAAAGTTCCTAATACTTTGTCTGTAGAGCAATATTCTTAAATATTACTGTAAAATGATATAACAACTATACCAAGCTACTGCAGTTTCACCCCCTCAGATCTTCAGGCTGGTTTGGATATATCTCTTTCACTACTCTATATTTAAATACACCACTCCTGTTCTGCTCTATATCGCCAAACAAAAAATTTGCATATCCTCTTCTATTTAATTTGTCACCACTTGGACAGTTCCTTTTTCTCTTAATCTCTAACTATTGGCTGCTATTGCATGAGTAAGAACTTCTTTTCATGTTTACATTTTGTCATAACATCAAATCTCTTGTTTAGCAAGTTGTTTGGTTCTTCATACATAATTATTGTTAACTTATGTTATTGCTTATTATGAGAACTGGTGCCTCAAAACTAGTTGCTGTGGAACTCAATGGCCCAGGAGGGCAATCTATCTAGGAGAAGGAAAACCCTGATTTTAAACCTCCTCTCTCTTGTGGTCATATCCAACCAAAACAGAAAAGAATATGGAACTAAATCCAGACAGAAAACCTGGAGTGGAGCCCCACAGGTGGTTGGCTGTCATAACTAACAGCTTTCTGACAACTTCTCCAGCCAAGCTGGCCTCAAATGTATTCCTTTTGATGTTGTCGGTATGGCCAAGAGAGGAGCCATGTAGCCTGGGCAGTGCAAGTCTGCCATATGCCATCACCCAGGCCTGCATCCTGGAGAGGTCACTCAAGTCTCACAACCAAAGGACTGGAATTTGACCAAAGTAGGCTCTTTATCTTATGATATAAACAAATGCATGCATATATATATATATATATATATATATATATATATATATAAAAGTCAGTTATGTGCCATGCATGATACATGCTTAGGTGATCATGTATCTTTCGATACATGTTTGACGAGGCAGATTTTTTCCCCACAGTAGGTCGCCATTTCTTTCTGCGGTAGACCAGATGCCATCCAAGGCTATAGAACTTGGTCTGTCTTGCTATTTACCTATAGCTGGGGGATAGCTCTCTGGAGAGGAGGTGTGGGTTGGTAAACAGTGACCATTATAGCTATATAGCAAGACTCTTCGCAAATGCGAATTGAGTGACTGTTGGTCACTGGGCGTGTTTCTAAGAATAAATACGCTAAAATCCACCTTCATCCCTACTGTGCACCGACGGCTTAATGGTTAGAATCTCCGACTGACACCAATTCAGTTGGGTTTCGATCCTAGCTAGAGGCAACTGGATGTCTATCCACACTGATGAGCTGTGAAACAGCGAAACAGTCTGTCTGTGGATGACGTTATATATATATATATATATATATATATATATATACCAAATAATTAGATATTAGTAACTATATATATATGTGTGTTAGTATGCATACACAGGCAAGTGAATAAATATTTACTTAATTTAATATAAGGTATAAACAAAACAGTGCTTAGACAGATCTAAGAAGTATATATTAATAAATATACATATCCCTACATTCAAAGTGCAACTATTTTTTGTGGTTCTAAATATATATATATTGTCATGTCCATAAAGAAATACATAAATAAAAAAAATAATTATACTGTCACTGTGTTGTGTCCATAAAAATAAATAAATAAAAATTAATTATAGTGTCAAAAGTAATTGTAATAAATTATCTGTAATTCACTTTCTAAACCAATGAGAATCGATCCCATTTTTCACTTTTACACACACAAGCACGTGATATTCTCACTATCAGACAGGCAGTCAACATGGGCAGGCTGTCAATTCATACCTCAACAAAAATTTCAACTCCTTTTCCTTTTTCAGTCCATAATAGTAACAATTTATCTCTTAGCACTGAAGAAAACTTTAAGGTAGGGAAACCCCATACATTTCTTGTATTTTCCAACTAAATTATCTGTAGACTCATTACACACATCCATAAAAAAAAATTATGAGAAAGACTGTATACACTTTACTTATTCTTTATCTTATTATTCTGTCAGATTCCGATCCATATTTGATCTACATTTGACCGCAAACTCACAATTTTACTCAGTATTAGTGTCTCTCTAACACCACATAACAACCCAACAATAAAACTCATTTTGTTGTTTCCACATCTTGCTGTTTCTCATTTTTATGAGTATTTTTGTATATATATATTAGGGGGTTTATAATTATTTACTCAGTTATAACTCCCCAACAATATATATATATATATATATATATATATATATATATATATACATATACAGTACAGGTAATTGATCCATTGGCATATAATCCAGGTGGATCCTAGTAATATTAAAACTGATCCACAGAGAGCTTGATGCTTTTATTATAACAGAGCATATGTATTTTTTTTTTTTTTATACTGCAAAAAACAAAAATTACCTCAATATGGGGATAGTCTATTTCATGCTTCAAGACAGACACTTAAGGGGCTGATGATAACCGCATACAGAACAGCTTAAAATAGACTATCCCCGTGTTGAGCTAATTTTTGTTTTTTTGCTGTAAAATATATATAAATTCCCAATAGGATAGAATCCAGGTAGAACTCAATGTCCAGGACAGAGTAAGTGAATGTTGAATAATCCTTAATAATAACCCAGTTGGAGTTTGTCTAGGTAGGTGGCACTGGTAGCTATTATATATGATAGTTTTGTTAATAAGTGGTTGGCCAATCATGGCTACCTTTAATGCTATAAACATTGGCTGCTTTATATGGAAAATGAAAGCAAGGTTGATTCTATACAGACTTCCTTTCATAATCTAGATGCCTATCTGTTGAACCAATGCTTTTAATTTTTTTTTTTTTTTTTAATCTTCCTTTGTTTCTCTTTTGCAGATCTTAGCTGTGACGAGTGTCTTTGTCGTTATTTTGGCACTTTACCAAATGTTTGAATACATGTTCTGTTACAATGCTGAGAAGAAAGAACAGAAGGATTTGCTTCTCCAACAGCAACACCAGCGGCGAATGCGTCAGTACATGGAAGTTGACCACAATGAACCAGTGGAAGCTGAAAGTCTTCTCCAGCAACCCGATATCGCTCTTGATACTTTTGCACTTAGTGGATGCAATGATGCAGCTGATTCATCTGCTGATGTCCCCCAACATATTATCGACAGTCTGACACCAGAGGAACTTAATTTGAATTTTGATTGCTGTATGAATTCCACAATATCTGACATCCCATCAACTGCTGCAACATTATCCGAGCCAAACCTGCTGACTGAACATACATTAGTTAAAGATTTTGGTGCCAAGGCTGATTCAGATTTTCAAGAGGACCATTCTCAAAGTAAAATGCCAAAGAGGTGAAATCCTCTACAAAAGTAATGTGGCTGTGATATCTATAAAATGAAAGAAAACATGTCACTGGCTGTGTCCTTAATTCAGTCATAAACTCTTAATGATATACTTTCTTAGACATAACTGAGAAGAACTGATATTTTAGTGTTGGTTATCTAACCAAAGTCAACACAATTTTTTTTTCTTTTTAATATATATTTTTTTATTATACATTAACAACTATGTTGGGAATTTCTTCTTTGGATTATTATCTACAATTCTTACATTTTTTATGAAGATTTTTAATCATGTTTCATATTGTAAATATGCCTTATTTGAAACTTCTTAATATATTAATAGTTTTCTTAAGATTAAAATGAATATAAAAAATCCACTACCAAATAATAGTAGGAAACCTTTTAAAACTGTTTTTTTTTTCTGTTGGTTTATGATGGCAATAACTAACCTGACTAAACATTAACCCATTCCTTGTTTTATTACTTTTTTGATTGAAACATATGTCTATTATTATGTGTTTATTTTTTTTGCAGGGAGTAGGAGTTTTTTTTATTTTGTATTGGTATGTTTTGGTCTTTTTTTTGGTAATTGTTTTTTTTTTTTATACATTCTGCATTCTTTCATATTTATTTTCTAAGACCTTGAAAATTCTCTAGGAAGTTTTCAATGATGCATATTCACAATATGATGGTAATTTTTTAAAGCTCTCCAATGGATTGTTGTTTACTTTTTACCTTTTGCAGGGTAAAATTTTAAATTGCTTTCTTGACACACCTGGGCTCCTTTTTTCATTTTTTTTTTTAAACTCATACAAACAAGAGATGACTAATTTTGTAAAAATGGAAAAAAGCTACAAAAATTTATCCAAAACAATCATCTTCAAGCTGCAGCAAAAGCTTGCAACTTTACAATTTGGTACAAATACCCATTATCTAAACTTGATTGCATTTTATCTTGCCAAGATCATAAAAATGCCCTAATGAATTTTACTCTAACATCTTTGTTATAATGAGTGTAAATTCTTTGTCTGCAAAAGGTAAGATTTCTATTCATTTATCATCAGGATGTCCTTGAAACAATCTTTTCTTTTTAAACTAAAGGTCAGTTTTAATGTATTCTGACAGCTATGAAATGTAGTGAATTAATCTAGGATTGCAAAATTTAGGCAAAATAAATTCGTTAAAAGAAAAAGAAAATCAGGACTGAAATTTGGAGGGTCACTTACAGAGATTGTTGTAGTCATTTATTGATGGCCTTCTGTGATATGCATACAGATGAAGCTCAACAATGGTGTCCAGCCTTCCTTTGACAATGACTTGGCCTACAGTTACTGCTTTTCGTTTAGTAATGCTGTATATTCATATAGTTAATATAACTACCATTTTATTGTTACTTCACACAATTCACATGATGCAATTATTAAAATGTAGATATTTCATTGATACTACGAAAGCTTGTGGGAAGGCCGAGGAATAATGTCTGACTTTCAGAATATTCTTGAATAATAAAATAAATATTAATAAAATAAAGCAGATTTCCATTGGACAACCTGTACTTTTAAAACACTAAAAAAACCTTTATAAAAAAAATAGGAAACAAGTAAAATGGGATAAGTTTTCTTTTTACCTTTTTTGATGTGGTTTTACACTAACCTGTTAAGTTTTATCACTAACATGAACAGGTTACTTTAAGGCAACATTTTCAGAAGAAAAAAAATAATCTGTGGTGTCCTAATTACATGTTTATTTTATTTAATGGTTAATCTTGCCCTTTATACAATGCAATAAAAACAAGTTAATAATGTAAGTGATATATTTTTGATCATGCAGTAAATATGAAAAAAAAATTACTTTTCTGCAAAAAAAATTATGAAAGAATTTTGTCTTTTAATACCATTTTTATTTTTATTTGTACTCGTTGAGTTTTTATATTATTAATAATATCAGGTGGTTTTCATAGGGGATCATGTGACAACAAGTCTCTTCAAGACTCCAGCACTCTCCTCAGTATTCTAATTTTAACAATGCTGTTTTCTAGATGGGCTTTGATTCTTCCTTGGATTGACAGTGCTTTCACCTCTTTGCAAGGATCTCTATTTAAAGTGTACTATTAATGACGGATGCAGTTGTTGCCATTATATTTGCAATTACTTTCTTTCTATTTTTTTTTTTCTTTTTTTTAACAAGATCCAGATATCTCCCAGCTTTTTACTTTGAATTGTACTCAGGCATCTGCTTGAATATTGATATCTTTTTATGTGATACATTTTCCTCTTGCTTACGGTGATTCAATATGGTTTTCTTGTCTAGAGTGGGTGATTCATTTAATGGTCAAAATGCCAGAGAATTTCACTTTTGCTCGCAAGGACAGCTTCTTATTTGTGCATATATCATTAACTCCTGTCATTTTTACAATACCCAGTGTATCACTCTTCCTACCCAATTACATCCATTTTTGTGCAACTTCTGAACTAATTTACTGCATTTGTTATATGACTGATGATGACAATCATTATCCTATTTCTCTTTTCTATAGTTTGTTCGTATAGAATTGTTCTGAGTTGCTGTTAATGAGTTAGTTCATCTCTTCAATTGTCCTCTTACAACCATCTCCATTTACAATGTCATTTGTTTGTCCTTTCATCCATGAAATTTTTTCTTCCCTTTTTTGTATTCTCACTTTGGCTTTTTTGCCTTTTGTCAGCTCTACTAAAAAAAAAAAAAAAAAAATGGAAATTACTATATTTTTGAAAGACTGTTGATATTTTCTGTCTGAATTTCTGCAATGTGAAGTCAATTATGATTTACAGTTATTAACACAATATTTCGATTACAGTGCCTCCAGCCTTCTTCAAGTGTTTGTCTATCTGCTTTATCATGGGACAATAGCCAACATGATTAAAGCATTTGTTTGTGAATTTGGTGACATAGTGATTCTGAGTTCAATCCCTAGGCTGAGTAGTATAGACTTAGTAGAAACCAAGCAATACTTTAAAAAAAAAAAAAAAACATATATATATTCCTAGACATGGACAGGTGAATTCAAATAATTTAACCCAAATTCCCTGAAGATTACCTAGATCAACAGATATCTGAAGAAGAACAGAAGGGTCAATGGCTGAAACATTGTGATAATAACAATTATTAGTCCAATTTTAAATAATGTAAGTAATGACTATTAATATTCTCCAAAATTTTAAATTGTATGCAAGTATTTTTAGCACTAAAAAAATTAGCTGGCAATTAACTTTGCATTTAAATTTTTTAAAATTGTAGTTATCATGGAAGCAAGGAAACAGAAGAGAGTTCCATATGCAGGAAGTGTGAGAAAAACTGTTGGAGTAGAAGTGGCAGTTGTATTTAGCTAATTCAACAGTAAAAGGGAGGTACCTAGATGCCAACAAGTAACCCAGGCACCAGGAAAAAAATCTTGTCAAAGCAGTTGCCATGAAAATATTTGTAGAAAAGACAGAAGGAAGTCACATCACATCATTGAGAAAGTAACTGAAATCATGATGCCAGGTCAGGATTGATTACATTGCAGATCCTTCTTTCATATATATATATATATATATATATATATATATATATATATATATGTATTATAAATTATTTGATTTGAAATGTTTTTTTCGCTACACAGTTCTAACCATGTTTCAAAAATTAGCTTCCATTTTTGAAACATGGTTAGAACTGTGTAACAAAAAAAACACATTTTAAATCAATTAATTTATAATATAAATATATATATATATATATATATATATATATATATATATATAGTGCAATTAATAAAGAATTACAGAATTTGTTAAAAATTGGCCTCTAACCCTCCTTGATTTTTTTTTTTTACAATCTTTACCCTGCTTGTCTGGCCCCCAAAAAATACTAGATTGTAAAGATAAAAATTTAAATTTTTCTTTCTAATATGAAAAGATTTGGGTTATTTATGTATAGATGGGCACTTGTACCTGTCTAGGGTTAGTTTAGTACCTGTGGGCTCTGCCTAATTTTTTATTTACAAGTTAATTATATCGTGCTCTTCAAGCAGCATAGCACAAACATAGTAAATGTGTCACCTGTCTGCTTGTCTGCAAGTCAGATGTTTGAATCCAAACAGAATTCACTTGTGATTTCTGTCCTCCATTTCCTTTCAGTAAGACAAAGAAACAAATGAGAAAAGTCATACTGTTCATTATATAGATAAATGATATTTTTTTATAAGATGTTAAACACATGTTTACACAAACTTGTTTTGTTCTTTGTTTAATGACAGAAACTGACACAATTTTCTTTTTATTTTCTTTTTATTTTCTTTTTTACTTTTACTTTTTAATAATGCAACTAGTTATTGACCTTTTTTCTTAGTTTTTACTGTTTACATAATAACAAGTGTAAAATAAGGACAGTATTGATTTTAATCATTAAAATATCAAATCATTTTTTTTAGATTGCCATTTAAAAGAAGTGATAAAATCATGCTGCTGCTGCTAATAATAATAAACTAAGTAAGCCAAAGATAGACTGGAACCAATGACTTTCAATCTGATCAAGTTATTGAACACTGAAGACCAGATATTGTCGTCTTCAACACAACTGAAAATGAATGCTAAATAACTGATTTGGTCATAACTGCTGACTACAGTATAATATTAAAGCAAATAGAAAAGATCAGCAACTATTCTAAACTGAAGAAAATGCCGGAGAAAACTAAGTCATTCTGGTAGGGTTGGTCAACTAAGCTCCATCCCATTGAAGTGTAAAGCATATGTTGATCTTCATATAAAATTTACTTTACAAACCCTATAAAAATCTGCTGTTTTAGGTACAATAAGCATACTTCAAAAAGTACTGTCTGCTTCATGTCCATGTTGTGATTTGACAGGTAATATCTTCCTTGGTACTCAAGACATCTACACAACAACAGCACCCTAATACATGCAGAATACAATAAAACATATTAACATGATTAATAATATCATTAATAATATATAATTAATATTATAATAATAACAACTTAGTATTTTTTATCATAATATAGCAATATAATAACAGTAACAATAAATGTGTACAGAATTAAAAAGTTAATTCTTTAGGGACTGTGACATTTTACCTTTTCTGTTTTATTTTTTAATATTTGTTTTTATAAATCTACTAGAATTGCAATTACATACTCTAGGTACTATATAACTTCAGGATTCAGGGTATAGATGATCATGGTTACTCACAGCTTCCCTTTATTTAATATCTGTACATTGCTATAATTATTCTTGGAAATGATAGCAAAATAGTTTACCATTATTTTCTTTGTTTCTGAATTAAGAGTTGTCCTTATCTGAGACTGGTTGTCCTACAAGAATAGAGATCCCATACTGTCCTGTTATTTACCGATAGCTGGGAGGAAAAGAGATGAGTTTTTTTTTATCATTTCACTCCAAACAAGGCAATAATGCCACTAAGATGCAAGTGGCTACTGGGAGTGAAAGAGAAGGAAAAGATTTTAGAAGGAACCAGAAATCCAATCCTACACAAGGGATAGGATTTATGCCTCTCTCAAAAATACCAGTATAAAATGAATACAAACTCAGCTGGAATTTCAACTCTGCTCATCAATACCATTTTTGAGCCACAGAGAAAAGGAGACCCAAAGAATCTAAAACACAGGACACAGTGGAAAGAGGAGAAACAGCGGAAGTTAGCAAGTAACTTATTAAACAAATTTATGTGAATGAATGGCAGAACAAGGACAAAGAGATGGTAAAGAATCAAAACTTACTTAGAGCAGTAAAAGACAGGAAGTTGTGGAGAGCCATGATCTGAAACGATATCACATAAAAGAACCACCATTAGTCCACTTAAAATAGTATTACAAGTGAAATAAGGAAAAAGTGACAACAGATTTAAAAGAAACCTTGTCTATCAAGTGTACAAAACTTGTTGAGTAATTCTCTTGATCTTTGTACAAATGTATTCTTCTATAATGTAGCTTTACTGCTGATACAATGTTTGTTCAGTATTCTCTCGATTATCTAATATTTCATCACAGACAAGTATTTTCAGAATTTAAAAAACCCATACTCAGTTTTTGTTCAAAACACTGATAAAATCAGATGATGATATTGCCTTTGTTGAAGTTCAACAACTCCAATGCCCAATTTCAAACACCAATGGGATGGTAGCACCTGTTAGGGTCCCAGCTATGGGCAAAGAGTTAAACCCAAATCTGGGGTCAAAACATTATGAAAGTATAAAAATAATTTTTTATAGTAAAAATACCAGCACATTATTGAAGTGTTGATATGCTGTAAAACAAAATAAACCAAATTTAACAAAGTAATAATTGTTAGTTGGCCTTTTGAACTAGAAGCTCTACCTACAAATATGTCTAGCCTCAAAACTTAGCGAGAGAAAAATGTGAGACCAGTTGAAAAAAAAAAAAAAATGGACAAAAACTTGAACAAAGTCTTTGGAAATATTATTTGATGATATAGATGCTAAATTTCTTTCAGAAAATAAACTTTATTTTTTCTTTAATAATTTAAATATTGAATTATTTGAGTGTATTTTTCAACCCTGTTTCCCACAGTTTTCTCAATATTAAAGAAGGTACTGTATTTGTTTTCTATTGGCAGTTAAGCTGCTTTTGTTCTCCATTACTAACGTCCACATCAAAATCCTTTCATTCTCCATTACAAACGTACAAACGTCCCCCATCGGAATCCTTTTGTCCTCCGTTACTAATGCCCCTCTCCATCGGGATCCTTTCGTTCTTCATTACAAACGTCCCTCATCCATCAGGATCCTTTCGTTTTCCATTACTAACGCCCCCCTCCATCGGAATCCTTTCGTTCTCCATTACTAACGTAACCCCCCCCATCAGAATCTTTTCATTCTCCATTACTAACGCCCCCCCATCAGAATCTTTTCATTCTCCAACATCAGAATCCTTTAACATCGTACAATGTTTTTTTATGTTGTTTTGATATCACAATATTTTTATAATCTTTTTTTTTTTCTGTTGATATTTCTTTTATTCATTAAACATAACAGCTAATTTTATTTCAGCAATATACAGGGTTTTGAGGCTAAATTTGACACTTTTTGAGTGAATATCTAAGCCAAAAATGAATTTATTGGAAAACATAGAAAATTTGCATACAGCTTATAACAATCAAAAGCAACCCCAGCATCTTCCACAGCCTCAATCAGACTCCGGAATCTCTCACATGTGGCCTTTATGGTGTCCCTAGGAAGAGCCTCAAAGGCCTCTTTAATTCTGTTGATCAGCTGGACATTGGCGTTACAGGCAGTGCAGTTGGTGCCTTTCTCAACTGAGCCCCACATAATAATCCATGGGCATACAATAAGGAAGTCAGACGTTGGGGCTGGTGAAGTCATAAAAATTATCTGACAGCCACTTCTAACTCTTCCTGGAGGTGTGGCAATACTGTCACATATATGGTCTTCAAGGTTTGACCATGGTGTTCAGCAACTGCATACAGCCAACTGAATTGAGCCTGAGACCCTGTTCAAAGATGTGAAGTGTCATGACATGAACCCCCACTAGGGACATACCCAAAAACCATCACAGTGTGGGGAAACTTGGTCTTGAGGACATCATATGGGTTGTAGACAAGTCAGCTGGTCCTGACAAAAATTCTTTTCATCAAAGAATCAGATTGTCCCTGGTTCAACAGAATGTTTCACCTTGTTCAGGAGTTTCCTCGAGCCTTTTCTGTAAGAAGTTGACCTTTGTACTTCTTGTATGTCTGATAGTGAAGGTCCTCATTCAAGACCAGCTTCATAGTGGAAATCACAAAACCCATTTTCCGTGTCTAGGTCTTCCTTCACTTTTTCCTGCAGCTGTTGGGTCTGCTGTGTTCTTTCCTACAAGCCACAGCCTCATAGTCTCCATTGTAGCTCTCCATTTCATATTGTTTTCACAGTGTTCAAAGAGCATTGAGAAGCTGTTATGATTGCAGCATTTTGATACTTGGCACGAATCAATAATGCAGGTTTCCCTTTTCCAATATTCAGGTGGCTTCCGCCTGTCCATGTCAGTTAACTTTGATACCTCTAAAGCTGTAGTGACTAGGTTTCACAAAGCTGTTGACTGTTTACAGATATTCCAAACCAATCTGAAAAAATAAAAACATTAGACTATCAACTTTAGCCCAAACACTTTGTATGTCAGTCACAGTATATTGAGCCATTAATAGGCCTGTCACTGGAGGCTGTGGTTGGGTGCTATCTCTACCACACAACAAAAATTACTTGAGCATCCCCCATAAAAAGAATATAAACTAATTTTAGTGTGTCATTTCTAACAACATGGACTATAAATTATAATTTTTTTTTTTTCTTGTTTTTATGCAAAGTAATGTATATGCATATAGTGTAACATTTATCAGCATTAAAAGGGGGTTCAGCAAGCTGGGTTCAAATTGTGGTCAATGCTGTTGAATTCTCTTTTGCACAAATACTTTTGTGAAAGGTATGAATCCAACTTTTCATTGCACTCTCCCCAGCTATGGGTTAAATAGCAGGATAGATTGGTCTTCTCAGTTTGGAGTGGCAAGCAATGTCAAAAAAAGAAATCTCTGAATTCCCCAGACCATGGAGAAGGCAACAGGAAATTACAACACTATCTTACTCACTTTCCCAAGAATATATGGCAAATCACAGATAATAAAGAAAAGGAATCTGTGGAGAGTCATGATTGCCTATGTCCCAAAAATACAAAAGAAAAAAAAAAAGAAAACCAGGCTATTTGCAGAATTATGTAAATTTAACTTGTTTTATTAATTATTGAATATATCTAATATATACTAATATATTAGACTGAAAGATATTCTGTTTATATATATATATATATATATATACACACACACACAGTTTTTTTTTTTTTTTTTCATCAACTCACCCATAAGACACAAAGAGCTACTGGTAGTGAGAATGAGAAGACTTTAGTAGGAGCTGGAAATGCAATCCTAAACAGGGAACAAGGGATAAACTTCTGCTTCTGTTCAAAAGAAACATGCAGACACACACTCACAGATACATACCCACATACACACACGTGTGTGTATGGTGGAAGTCAACTCGTGACTAAGACCATCTCTTGCACTCAAATTTTCTTAATTTTTCACACAATTTAAATATCATCCCTTTGTCACTGATGACATCACAAATGGCTTTGAAGACCTGCAAGAGTTTTGCAGTTCTTCCCACATTGTCGACATATCAGACTTCCTGCTGCAGATTGCCTTTCAGGATGCTAGCTGTGGAAATGTTGTGCAAGTCCGCTGGTTGATCAACACGTTTTATGGCAGATTGTACATGTATGATCATCAGGGATGTCATATTGGTAGTTGACATCATGATGTGACCAAGAAGACCTGCTTTTGAAAGGCAAATTCAGTTACATTGATCACCCATAAGAGACTCCTTTGATCTATGTTCTGGGAGAGGGTTGACACCTCTCATATATCTGCCTGTACATTTTTGTTGTGCATATTCTATTCTTGACACCAGTAACAATCAGATTTTTCCATGTTTACCAAACTGATGCAAGTTCTTCCCAGGTGTCTATATCTATATGTGTCTTTTTATGTGGGTCCTTCAGATTGTCTTTATAGTGCTTGCGGGGCTTACACTACAATCATTTTCCCTGTGCTAACTCCCTATACATAACCTGTTTAGGCATGTGTGAATCTTCTAGGCAGACAAGGTGACCAGAGCATCTAAGATGGTGCTTCATAACCATGGATTTAATACTTGCTGATCTTGCCAATTGTACCACTCTTGTATCAGGAACATGTGATCACCATGAGATCTTTAGAATAACAATGCTGAGGAAAGTGTTCAAGGCACTGGATATGTCTGTGGTAGTAGTAGTAGTAGTAGTAGTATAACTTGTATTTGAAGATACCTGTCTACTAGAGCAGCTGGCCAATCACTATTGCAGATGCTTGCTCAGCTGCATTTGTGTTTATTCAACACTCACAAAACCCACCTGTGCTTTATACTGCAACCATGTTGAACAGACCTTAGTTACAGTTTCTGGGAGAGAGTGTGTTATCTAGCATGATCAATAATTTGGACAAGGCCAGCACGCTCAAGCCCTCGGCCATGATGACTTGTGACTTTGGGCTAGCAAGTTATCGACGGCACCCAAGGGTTCTATCTACTCAATTTCATGCACAATGCTTGGGTCAACCTATGGTATGGTTTTCAGGCACTTTCCAAAGATCCCTCCACTCTGATAACATCAGGAAGTCTTATTCCTGACAAATCAACCATGGTGAGATTTGAACCCAGGTCTCATGGTCAGAATGCGAATGTTCTAACCACTCCGTCACATGCCCATATGCCTGTGGTATAGCATGGTTGTTAACACCCACGCATGATACACCTCAACTTTTGTTGTTGGTTTTATGTATGATTGTGACCAAAGCCTTGACTCAAGTTTACTAAATTCATCATATGTCTCCGAGAGTCTATAAGAGATCTCTTCATCAAGTGTGTTGGATCTAGATGACATACTGACGAGATAGACAAACATATCTACAACTTCTAACCATTTATCCTTGACAAATATCAATGGCACAATGCATGGTTTTCCTGGTGTAAGTTGCAGCATAACTGATTAACAAGTCCAAATTCATCACAGGGGGTTGAAAAACAGTCCATAAAGAGCTGCACATCCCTCTCACAGCAGGTAACAAGGTCACAGTTGTCACCATACAGAATATCAGACACTATATATATATATATATATATATATATATATATATATATATATATATATATATATATATATATCTCACCCTGTTTCCATATAACTTTGTATATCAATAGTTGGCATTACTATTTTTTTATATACTGTATATACTTGTGTATCATACGACTTTTGAAGACCTAATTTTAAAACTAATTTTAATGAGGTCACATCATACATGAGATATAAAATTAGCATATGTACAGTTGACCCTGGCTACACCGTTGACCAAACTATATATCCATTTACTGTAGTCAAGAAGTACAACTGTATTTAAAATAAACATGATTTTGATAAAACTGATGTTTTACTTAACTATATCCAATAATAATACATGTAATATTCACATATTAGTATTGTATTATGAATTACAAACATAGTGAATATGCATCTTTTCCATTGTTTACATTTAGAAGATGTTTAGCTGTTTCTCGTTCACTTATTTATGGCTGTACATGTTTGCACAATGAGTATAGCATTACTAACAATAGATACTTTTATTATTCTCTAATCACATTTTTAACTTATTTAACTAGAAGAGATGTATGTATGTGTGTGTGTGTGTGTGTGTGTGTGTGTATATATATATATACACACACACACACACACACACACGTCATGAAACTGATTAGAGAACTAGAAATGATTATTATAAAAATAAAGACATAATGTCTATATTATTCATGTTTGAATGAAGATATGCTGCCTATATATATATATATATATAGTCATCCACAGACCGACTGTTTAGTCGTATCACAGCTCTTCAGTGTGGCTGGACGTCCGATTGCTTCAAGCCAGGATCAAAACCCACCCGATTTAGCATCAGTCAGAGATCCTACTCCTAGGCTATTGTGTGTAAGTGTGTGTGTATATATATATATATATATATATATACACACACACACACACACACACTCGTTGAAACACCAGTTCATACAATCATCAAAGTTAAGCAATGTCAAGCCTGGTCAGTACTTAGATGTGTGACCTCTTGGAAATACCAGGTGGTGTTATGGATAACAGCTTGGAATTGGAAATCGGAGAGTTGAGTTCTAATTCCCGTTAGATTCATTCTATTCACTTAGATGCAAATACCTCTTCTCCCACTCCCCTGCTAGGTGTTAATTAATAGGTCTTTTATCAATATATCATTATTATTTCAAAAAGATTCTTACAATCTGAAGATATTTTCTGGCCTTAAATAACCTGTAAAAGGTTAATAAGCTGTAAGAAACATTAGTAAATTAAGCATTCCTTTGCAACTTCAACACAATGCAATAATTTGTTTGAAATTATTTCTTCATTTTCCTTATGAAAAATCTGGAAATAAGAAACATTTTGCATAAACTTATTCCATTTCTGAATTTTGAGACTAACTCGGGACTTTGTGGTTTCTACAGTCGATAACTCGTTTTTTATTGGCTGCTTTTTTTCCAAGATACCAAACTATTTTTCTAACTTATAAAACATTTCTAAACTTCAAAGCAAATCACTTTCCCTTGAACTCACACATAATGGATGTTTCTTCCTGTTTAGCCTGTTTGCTAATTTTTTAATTCAAATCCTGTTGAGCTTTTTCACATAAAAACTAGATGAAAATAGATTTTCAATGTGTGTTTAGAAATGTTTTATTTTTATACATATCAACTCACACATACAACAGATATCTAACAAATGAAATCTATACAGAAGTCTGTTAAAATAGTTTAAGAATAGAAATCTTGAAGTCTGGATTTACACATAAGGTACAAAATTATGCAAACATTCATTAGCTTTCATATCAAAATTAATTTCCTTCACCAAAGAATAATTCACCATAACTTCCTATCCTTTGTAGCTCTTAGTAATTTTTTTTTTTTTTTTTTTTGCTATCTCTCTTAATCCCTGTTCTGTTAACCATTTACACAAGCTCATTAGGTAGGTTATGTGCTGACTTCCTTTGTCCCCCTTGCATATTCTGTGAGTGTCTAATTTCCTAGCCCTCTTTCCTCATTATGTGCTCTAGAAACTTCAACTGTCTTTTTTCTGATTCAAAATATAATTTCCCATTTCCTTAAACTTGTTGTTGTTCACATGGTCCATGTAATTCTCAGCATTCTTCTGTAGAACCACATTTCTGTTGCCTCAAGTTTCTTCATCTTTGAGGAGACTGTCCAGGATTCACTGCCATATAGGAGGACCAATATTACATAACAGAAGGAAAACTGATTTGCAGTTGCTGCTCAAGACATTACTGTTATGTAATCTCTGTGCACTAACTGTAAATCAGCATAGGTGCATTTTAACTGTGTTATCACCAGCACAGCAACAGAGAATGTTGATTATCTCAATCATGGACTGTAACTACTGAGATACAACTGCAGATGTTCCTTTAAAATTGGAAATTTTATTTCTTTGGCATCCCTTTTAATCTAACCAAACTTAATTACCATTTCACATATTCATCTCTATTTAAACCAGTCTTGACAAATCTCTGCAATAAATCCTCATTGAGTTCAAATTCTGTACAAAGTACTCAATTCAGGATATGCAAACAAATCCCGAGTCAGAGTCTCTAAGACAATCCAATGTTATGGTTAACTTCATTCTGGCAACTGTGATGATGCCAGTGCCAAGCTGTATTGGATTCTACCTTTCTCTTGGACAATATCAGTGGTATGGAGAGGGGAGACTTGCTGCATGGGCAACCACTGATCTCAAAACTCTACCCAAGTCTGCACCCTAGAGAGGGCACTCCAGCATCACCTCACTGCATCAGGAAGCAACTGTCTACTGATAGGAGGATTCTAAAGGCCCTTCTGTATGGGGAACTGGCTGCCAGCAAGGGGGCATGAGGATGACCTCATAACATGAGGGCAATTGACATTGAGTGGTCTGAAGACATTACTAATGATTGCTCATTTACAGAGAGCTGGAGTGAGGAGAGAAGAAATGGAGGCTTATGCCAGGGTGATGCATACAGAAAATTGAGACTGTCACTCTCATGTGGGCCTGTACAGCCATAACATATGCTGCACTGCTATCAGCATCTGAGGCATAACTTTTTGGATGCAGATTCATGGTCTCATAAGATACCACATACATAAACAAAGATAATCCTAAAATATTGACAAATATTTTAAAAACGATCTAAATCTTTTTGTGTCATCATGAAAAAGTGAACATAAGAATATCATCAGGTACAAAATTTTGGTGTAGTTTATTATTATAGCTGCCACCTCATTGACAAATATGACCATCACAAGATATTATTGCCTGCCAATCATAATGAACAGATGTTTCCTCGAGGAGGCACCATGCCTTGATAGAATATTGGACCTCAAAATCACACCTGACCTCAAGTGGAACTCTTACATACGATCCATTGCTAAAGATGCAGGTAAAATGATTGGCTCCCTGTACCACACCAGTAAGTACCTGATTCCTCATGCTATCCTCTACCTTTATAAAAGCCAGATCAAGCCCAAAATGGAGTACTGTTGCCATATTTGGATGGGAGCTGCGTGGTCCTCATTTTCCAGTCTTGTTAGAGTTCAGAAGAATTATTTTTCAACCTCTCCCTCATAGGGGGGATGTTGTGAGCCTCTCACTGCTCTATTGCTACTTCCATGGAAAGTGCTCAAACAAATTACATTCCTTGGTTCTGCCAGGTCTAACTTTCACAGTACCCGCCATGCCACTTATATAGTAGCAAACCACCCTAATTCCCTCTGTATTTCATCAGTAAGAAGTAAGTTCCACTTGAACAGTGTGTGTCTTCTTGCCCCATGGAACAGACTCTCAAGAAGATGTTTCTCCAATCGCTCTAATCTTAACCTGTTCAAGTCTAGAGGTAACCATTATCTCTCCTTTCTATCGATATAAACTACCCATTAATGTAATCCTCAAGTGGCTCCTGGGCCTTGTGTATTGTGAACCTTACTATAAAAAAAAAAGTTGAGCTTTTAATAAATATGAACAAACATTTAAAACCACAGGCGCAAAGCTGGTAGATATGAGGTATACATTAGATTTATTTTTGTGACTGTTTGCATGTCTTTGCAGCCCACCTGCTGATTTGAATACTTTTCCACAAATTGTGACATAAATTCTCAGTATTTAATGCCATTTTTTTAGTTAGCCAGTATTCTGGTGCAATGGCTTCACAAATGACTTAATTTTTCTGCTTTACTCAAGAAAAGCACTTACGTATACTCTCATAGATTTTGGTCAGTCTTGCTCTATTGAGACACTGAAACCTGCTTACAGTCACATGACAATGAAACACTGGTTCCCATACGATCACCAAAGTTAAGCAACATTGAGTCTGGTCAGAATCTCAATGGGAGACTGCTTGGGAATAACAGGTGCTGTAAGTTTGGATATGCGGGTGGTGCAATGGATGACAAGATGGAATTTTTAATCAGAGAGCTGAGTTCCAATTCCAGTTAGGTTCATTATATTCACTTATGTGGAAATACTCTAAAATATTTTATGGCTTTAAATAACCTGTAAAGGGTTGATAAGCCATAGAAAATGTATCGATCAGCACTGAAAACTTTTATTCAGTTTGTGCAGCCGAAATACCTCCAATATAATGGTAAGACAGGTATTTCTGGGAGCTACATGTGGGAAGTATTTCTTCTGCATTCACACACACACACACACACACACAGATATATATATATATAAGATATTGCGTATTGAGTGCTGGTATTAATAAAATAGTGCTCAATGTAATATAACAAAGGTATTAAGTATATAATATATATATGAGCAGTGTGGATAAAGGTATGAATGTCAACAATGCATTTCATGTTTAAACATAATCAACAGGCCATGTGAGGAAACAGTAACTCTACTATTAATATGTGTTTGTCAGTGGAGAATGATAGGTTATTTCCAAGTTGTTGAGTTATTCTATCAGCTATTGAGTAGGACTAATTATAGGCAGGAAAACAGTTATTTTCTGTTTATTGTATTTTTATAATGGCGATTGAGTAGTAACATTTGTTATTAATTATTTAGGTCATCAAGAGATGTCATAAATTTAAAGTTTTTCATTTAACCTTTGACATACTGCATTATTAATTATTACTTCCCTTCTGACTTCATTCTTTTTCGAGGCCTCTCAATTGCAGTATCTTTACTGTTAATTTCAGTCAAAGTTGTTTCCTGTTGCCATAGCAGCATATGACAACACAACTACAAAATTCAAACATACTATTGTTCAGGGATCAGTCACCTTCAGTAGCAGGATAAACTTTTTGTACAGCTGATGATATCATATACAGAGTGATAACAGTTAAGTCATTTGAATGAGAGCTTATAAGTTTAGGATTTGCATTTAAGTCACTTTGATTTATCATTAATTACTTTAGTATTTTATTTATTATTTCCTGCTCCTTATTCGTATTAAATTTATTTAATTATTAAATTGTGGCATGTTTTCTTTCATACTATTTGACATTTTATTATTCAGTTTGTCTATTTGTCTAGCTTATTTTTGTTTTGTTTAAAGTATATTACAGGTATTATTGTTATTATAGAAATTGCATTTATCTTATTTATTATAATGAAGATTAAGTTTTATGAAAAATAAAGAAAAATCTGTTGACCAGTATATTTCTGGAAAATGTGGATTGCCCCACTTGGCTCTGCCAAAAGCACCTGTTACAGCACACTATTTAAGTCTATAAAAAGGCATGCATATTCTCTCTCTTTCTCTTTTTCCTCTTGCTTTCAGATGTAGTTGAATGTAAATAAAGAACACTGCCACCGGGGCGTGTTCGCTTCCTTGGTTCTCTGTTGATCTCTTGCACACAAGCACATACACCCTGCAACAAGGATAATGCTTTTAAAGCAAGCTGTTTTTGTAAGTAATGTGTTCATTATTACAAAATAGAACATTAATAGTAAACAAACTAATATAAATTTTTTTTTTTTATATATATATATATATTAAGCAATTCACCCCCAAGCAAGGCGAGAGTGCCACTAGTACCAAGGGGCAACAGAGAGTGTAAGTAAGGGAAAAGGTTGGCTATGAGTTGGGGGAGGAAAGGATAAAAAGAACGGGGATCAAGACAACAGAAAATGTCGATTGACATTACATTTAAATTTTTGAAGATTACAGTTATCAGGGAAGCAAGTAAGCAGAAGGGAGTACAACTGCTGGGAATTGCAAGAGAAGCTGTTGGAGTAGAAGAGGCAGTTACATTTAACTGTTTCAATAGTAAAAAGGTGGGACCAAAATGCCAACCTAGTAGCATGCTTAAATTCATGCCATCAGGGCACCAGTGAAAATACCTCATCAAAGCAGATGCCATGAAAATATTTATAGAAAAGATGGAGTGAAGCCACATTACGTCAGTGAGAAAGTCGAGACCCCTAGTCAGGATCAATTACATTGCATATCCATCTTTGTCTATGTGTAGCTATCCATTACTGAATTTTTTCTTTTGTGTTTAAATGCTACAGCTGACAGTTATACTTTAGTGTTCATTAGCTACATATAGTTTTTCCCTTACCAGTTACACCCCAGATGATGATCTCAGAAAGAGATGGAAAGTACTTGGGAAATAAAAGCGATTCTCACTGTTACAGTGCATTTCTTGCCTTATTCAATTGTAATATATGGAAAAATATTTGTGAATATGAAAAGATATAAATGATAAAAATAAGCAGACATAATGTTTGTAATTTATTCAATCAGACATGCCTAATAGAGAATTTTGCTGCCTAAATGCACAAATATATAAAACTTCTTTTCATAACCCAGCAGTCCTTAGGCTTGAGGGATGACACACATAATAAAAATGAATAAATATTGATATTATATCACGAGACAGACCCCACAAATTAGGACAGTCAAGATCAAACCAGGATGTATATGTCTCTACATATTTAGTTAATAAGCAAGTACTAAAATTTGACTAAATCCTGCATAACTCCACTTGACAACGTCAGTGTGTCTTAAGCAACTCAAAAAAATCTTGAGATTTAATTCACTTATTTTATACTGTATTCAAGAATTCTATTTTTTATTTACACTGAAATGATTTATTTTCTTTCTCTTTATTAACTCTGCAAAAAGTTTAAGCAACTATTTAAACAACTTGTGTACTAACTCTTTACTAATTTTTGTGTAAAAAATTAAGCAACCTGAATACTGGTCAAAATCCTAAATTGCTTATAAAAAAAAAACATTGTGTATCTGGTACATCAATATTTGTTCAGACAATATGGCTTTCAGTACCTGTACCTAGCCTCCTTGCTACTGTTATATTAACTTTAATCGTGTGAGGGGTTGTTTTATTTGTAGCCAAATATGATATTTAATAACATCATCTTCAAAACAAATATGAATAACTCCTTTGTTTTCCATTTGTTAAATTTTTGGCTAACATTTCTTTCATTTTCATTTCACTTGAAATTATTATTCAAACTTCATTATTGACAATGCTTCCTCCAATAAAAATTAAAATATGAAGATAAACTGACTGTTACTAATACTAATTGGATACATAACAATAGAGATCATGTCATGTGACCAGGGGAAGTAGGGGGGGTAAAGCTGTAAAGGTAGATTTGATCTTCTATCAGCTATAAAATGATCAAGCAGCTATTATCCACTACCATGCCCTGACAAAATTAGATCTGTCCAAGAAAGTTAAAAAAAAAAAAAAAAAAAAAAAACAACTATCGCCAAGGAAGTCAAATTGTCATATGACCAATCAAAATCTATCATCAGGAAGAGTAAAAGAAACCTATTTTTTTAAAATTATTTTCTTCTCTCGATAATAAGCCTAAGAGCCACTCAAGGCAGAGCGTCAGTGAATGAGGTTGCTGTAACAGTATAAATTAAAGAAGTGCATATTATGAGGATATGTAGTCTAGTTCGAATTCCAGTCAGATTCATTACATTGAATTATGTGCTAATACCCTTGAGAAAGGTATATTTCCTCTTCTCCCCCCCCCCCAGTTATGGGTAAATAGCAGGACAGACTGAGTTCTATAGCCTTGGGTAGCAACTGATCTAGGAGAAAGTAACTCTGAATTCAAAACCATATGTAGCCCTGGCATAGCACATACTATAGAGCTAAAGGAAGGATCCTTCACATTGGCACGATGATCCCGGCTATGGTCAACTTATAGTCGAGAAAGCTACTGACTCGAGACCTGAAAAGTTAAGATACTGTGGAGGTGTATATATATATATATATATATATGGGAGTTATGTTGGGTGTTATGTGTTTACAGGTAGTTGTTGGATAACATCCTTAATACAACTATATACCAATTTTTGACCTTTTTTAAAAATTTGTGCAAAGATAATTAGTACAAAGATATATTTTGCATGTACTGATAAAATTTTATATCTCTTAAAATAAAATCTACAGTATTTAAAGAGTTCATAAGTTCATATCAGAAAGTTCTCATATTGAATGTCTAAGTTCTTTAGCAGATAATAGAGAAAAGAGAATCCTTATAAATGTGTATGTATGTATAAGTATCTTGTTGATAGTAATAATCCTTTCAACTTTGTGAGATTTTTAGTTGTCTGAAAATGTAGGCACATGAGAACAGACAAAATTCTTTCATCGACTCTCTGTTTCACTTGCCTGGTCATTTGAGTTTATCACTTTTTCGAGAAAAAGGAATTCATTTCAGAATTGTCTCTTGGTTTCTGATTGGTTCACATGACTCATTTGACCTTCCCTTTTTCTTCACCTCCATTTGGGAATGCTGACCTTTTGGCCTATTTTATTTTTTGTTTTTATTTCTTTATGGCAAACCATTTTTTTTTTTTTTTTTTTTTTTTGAGATAGTGAACTTTTTATTTTTCTATCACTACAATACATCCTCTTGGGAGTCTGTTCCACAAATTAACAGCTCTGGTGAAGGAGCTGCCTGAGTGGAAATTCCTATTTACCAATGGAATATGAGAGGAATGAGAATGAATTTACTCTGTGTATATGGCATGACAGGTCTGAGCTGTGAAGGTTTGAAGTAATGAAACTAAGGAATGTAGTATGAATGAAAATTTGCCATGAAAATAATAATAGAATAGCAGGAGGCTTACAGTGTTTTGTCTATGGGGAAAGTGGTTGTAGGGTGGAATTTAATGCATGCATAAGATAGAAGTTTAAATGAACTGTTTTGTTATACCTTAAACTCAATTTTTGTGAAAATTGGATTTACCTGATTTTGTCAGAGCATGGCAGTACATTAAAAAGATGCAAGTTCAAATCTTGCTGAGAGCTTATTTTTTGTTTCCCCGTTTCCATTGTTTAATGATAACCAGAGACTGCCTGTCAGATTAGTTACAAGGAAGAGCAACTAAAATTGAAATAAAATATTATCCAAAATTAAT